TAACAGTGGATCTTATTCCCTTCATAATAGCGACGACCTGGGTTGGCTCGACATTGAGGCTGTATTTCGGTATCTTGTACCGGTTCAATCTGAATTGTCTGCTCTCGTTTCTTGTTGTTTGATGATCATACGGTTTCCTTGCTCTGTTCGAATTACTTGTTGGGGGTTGGTAGCGGTGCTCCGCTGGCCTGTGTTATGGCTTCCTGTCATTCCGCCTTGAATCGTATCTGGAGTGAATCATTCGGTTTATCTCATCCTCTTTCCACCTTATTTGGATCACTGCCCGAGCCAGGGCGTCTTCCATTGTGATGCAACCCAGCTTTGTAAGTTCTTTGTATAGCTCTCCGTTTGGGAAGAGACCCTTCTTGAAGGCATCTACGGCTGTCTCAGGGTTACATGCAGGGATGGAGATCTTCTCTTTGTTAAACCTGCTGACATACTCTCTCAATGGCTCTCCCCTTCTCTGGTATACTCTGTATAGGTCAGCCGACAACTTCTCGAGTTTCTTGTTGCTGGCGAATTGTTCAACAAATGTGTCGGTGAGTTGAGCGAATGAATTGATAGATCCGTTCGAGAGATTCGTGTACCATTGGAGTGCTGGGCCGAATAAGCTCGAACCGAAACTTTTGCACATGCAGGCTTCCCTAGCGGTCGGGGTATTGAGACTGTGAACATCTGCTGCTTGTACGAGGCTATGTGATCGTCCGGATCGGTTGTGCTATCGTACAGTTTCATGTTGGGGATAGTAAACTTTTGAGGCATGTCGGCTAGGGCGATCTCATCCACGAAGGGTGAATCCGCGTAACAATGGGGCCTACTCTTCTTGCTTTGGATCGGCATTCCTGGAATGCGTCGCATCACTGCTTCCACATCGGCCAATCTCTTGGCTAGTACCTGTTCCATAGGAGAAGGGGACGCCACTAGGTCATCCCGCATGACTGGGTCAGCCTTTGCAATTGACTTTGGTACATTCCGTTGGGTCATCCCTCGTGGGATAGTCTGACGAGTTGTTCCTTCGTGCGTTCCCTGGTAGCATAGATCTTCTGTCATTCGTTCCGGTTAGATGACTCCCATGGTAGTTGTTCTGGTGTTTCGCCCTACATGGATGGTCAGAGGAGTCCTCTGATAGTCATTCGGTTGGTCAGGATGGATGGGCTCGAGTGCTGTTTGTTTAGTTTGGCCGTTCATCCCATGAGGATGAGCCGAGCTGAGCCAAGCCGAGTATGCGTTGGGATGGTCGACTGGATGTAAGGTGGGATGGTTAGATTAGGCTGGTCTTGTGGATGAGGGCTTTCTGCCACCGGATCGTCTTGATCTTGATGCTGGGATGAATCGGCTGAATGATGTTCTACAGGCATATCTTTATCTCCATGAATCAGGACAGAATCGTCGACCGCAAACGGGTTTAGCAGACGCGGCCTTTTGCCAGAGACCGAGGGTGGGTGCTCTGGCGTAAGGAGAGGTTGCATGGACGGAATAGGGTTGCGGAACCGATTGGGGGGTGCCTGGCTAGGCAGGAACTTTAGATCGTAGAATTGACTAACTTTCTCCTTAAGAGACTGGTTTTCTAACCTGATGGACGCGTTTTCTGTCCGGATCACATTGTTCTCAGCTTCCAATGCGGCTACCTTGTCCGAGTTCTATTGCATGAGAGCAGTTAGAGCTTCCAGTTTGGCCTCAAGGCCGGGATTAGCGTTGTCGGAGTTGTCAGCCATGGAAAGTTCCTCTACGTAGTAGGGTTCATCGAGCCGAATGATTGCTAGAGGCCCCACGGTTGGCGCCAAACTGTAGATATAAAAATCTACCTGTACAGAAGGGGGGTCTGATCTCGTGAGTTTGAGGCCACTAGCGATCCGCTGCACCTGCACACGTAGAAAAACAAACGTGTGAAGCAAACGGGAAATACCGGGGTGGTGTTTGCCGTAGGCACTCCGACGCTTAAGTCAACAAGGCTGAAAAAGGCTAGTATAGTAAGGGCTAAGGAGTAGAAAGGTTACCGAAAGTCTAGTCGGAGACTGTGACTACGGCAGTGATATGAAGCTCTCAAGTAAGAACTGCGGGTGTGAAGGTGTAATGTAATGTGTCCTTTGTGAGAGGGTTGGCCTCTGTTTATATAGTGATTGTCTGGTCTCCCAATCCTAGTAGGAGTAGGAGTCCGAGTGTAACTCTGATGCAAACCCTAGAAAAGTTAGGGCGGTGGTGAGCTGTCTTACCTGCATTTGAATAGGAAGGTGATCTGAACAGAAAGTCACTTTGAGTAGGAAAGTGACCAGGAACGAGAAAGTTTCTTCGAATAGGAGATTGAACAGGAACAAGAAAATGATCAGTGGGGGCCGTGGGCTCTAAACTAGCCTATAGGCCCATGAAGTGAGCTGGAATTGGGAGGCCCATGGCCAGATGGTTTGGGCCGGCCTTATCTCGTATCAAATGGGACTAATTTGTCTTGGGCCTCTTTAGGACTGGGCTGGCCTTTTCTTCATTGGTGGTCCTGTTTTCCTATTTAGGCCAAGGACGATTTTTTGCCCTAACACTTTGTTCTATAAATGTGCTTTAATGCATTCGAGAAAGGTGCAAACCTTGATGTTTTGGATCATCCTGTCCTAAACTTCATATACTACCTGGTAAGTTCTGGTATAAATGTGCTATAAAACTATCAATAACATAATCTTCTTTAGATATGTTCTTGTGGGAGTTCAGAACAAGAAGTTTTCTATTTGTTTTTTCAGCTATACTATTAGAGATGTCAATGATGCCCATGAACATAATCAAATGCATTTTAGAAGCTTACATTATTTCAGAACTGTTCATATGTATTGGTCAATGAGTGGTCTTGGTCTGCTACCTTTTGGTCATTGATATAATTATTCTTAGAAAGGTGCGTGATGGTTTTCTTAAATTATATTGTGCCAAATAGAGATGAGTAAATTTATGATGGCTGTTTATTTCCTTGAACTATTTAGTTTAGGTCACAACCTAGGGTTCTTGTGCTGAAACTTGAAACTTACAAAGGAATGGTGGTTGAGAATCTAGTAGTGTATTAAGAATTGTAGTTTTTGGTTTAGGTCAGGCGGTGTAGCTTACTAAGGAATATTTTTTAAAGTATGTATGGGCAATACTTTGGTATGCTCTTTAGGAAGTGGGAGAATGGCAGTAATGGCTAGACTTCTAGAAGTGGGTAGGTTCTCGCCGAATACAGCAGGTCGGATCTTTTACAAATACTTAAACCATGCAAAGGAGACAAACTTAATATCTAATACTAAGCATTTTTCCTCACTAAGATTCCAGCCCAGCCGAGAAATGCAAAACAGTTCAGCAAATATTACCCATACAAAAAAAATGCAGATTTTCTTCCCTCTTCAATTAGCAAATTTTTACCTCCCCTTTACAAAACACATTTTAGTTTCAACATCTCGTCTCACACACCATTTAACTTCATACAAGAAACTCTACTTATACATATATATAACACAGCATATAGTCACACATTTTAAACCTAACAATTGCAATGTCACCCAAAAATGCAAGCTTATAATTCATTCTGAAACACACTTAATATCTTCATGGCCCAGGCAACTCATATATCCAACAAGCAGCCAACATACAAAACAATTGAAAACCCAAATTAAGTTTAAATTTAAAACACTTAATAGTTTTTGTCTTAATGTTTTAAGAATGTTATGTCAAAATGTTGGATCCCCGCGTGTTCAAACAATTCAGACAATAAAAGAACTAGTATTTCAAGCAATAAAAATGGAGAATTGACAATAGTAAACCGGAAATGCAAACTGACCTAAGAGAGAGCATTCGAAGTATTACCAATGGTAGAACACTTCTATTTATCAATCACACAAACTAGTCCTACCAAATTGATTGGATTTCTCTCTATCAACTCAACTCCATTCAACACAAACGTAGAATCCAACACATTCATCCAACATAAAAAAAAAATAAAAAAAAATTGAAAAACGAAAGTGTCTAATTACCAATGGCAAATGAGGAAGACGAAGAACAAGCGTAGAAGAGGAAGATGAAGAACAAGAGCGCGAAGACGAAGAACAAGAGCGCAGATGGAAGACAAAGAACAAGAGCGCGAAGATAAAGAACAAGAGCACAGATGGAAGACAAAGAAGAAGACCGTGGCTGTGTGTTTTAATTTTCAAAACTTCCCCCAAAATTTTTTAACCTAATACTATTTCTTTTAATTACAGTATGGACGGTCGTCCAAAACTTAAGGACGACCGTCCATTCCTTATGGACGGGCGTCCATTACTTACGGACGGTCGTCTTTTACATAAGGGATGGCCGTTCAATCCTTACAGATGACCGTCCATACATAATGGATGGGCGTCCATTACTTACGAACGCCCATCCACACTTAAGGGATGATCGTCCACAATTTATGGACGGCTGTCCAAATTTTTTATTTTGTTTTTTAAAACCACAATAATGGACGGGCGTCCATTCCTTACGGACGCCCACCCAAACTTAAGGGACGCCCGTCCACAATTTATGGACCGGCGTCCAAAATTAAGGGATGGCCGTCCATAACTGATGAACGGCAGTCTCTAAATGTTTTTTTAATTTTTTAAAAAGAGTTGTTAATGGACGGGCGTCCATTAAAATATGAACGTCTGTCCAATATTTAGGGACAGTCATCCATAACCAATGAACGGCCATCCCTAATTTTTATAAAAAAAAATTATTCTATTTTACTGATGGACGGGTGTCCTTTAAATGGGGACGCCTGTCCATAGTAAATGGACCCCCGTCCATATAATATAGACGGGAGTCCATGTAAGTGAACAGTCGTCCATATTTGATGAACGGCCGTTCACTAGAAAAAAATAAAAATAATGTGAAACGTGTCTGGTTTGTTGGTGTGAATCACGAGACAAGTAGGCCGGTACAAGATTTTGGTGTAAAAATGCCGGTGTCCGTAGCATTATTGAAAATAAAAAGCATGGAAATGAACTTTCAAGTTTTTTTTTTTTTTTTTTTTNCAAAACAATCAGACCACGCGTAAGTTTCTTCTTTCTCTACTCCGTTTTGTCGTCCTTCTTATTTTATAAGCTAGTCGTTGCGATCTGCCCTTTTTACATCGTTCTATTTTGCTGCAAATTTTTTTGCAACAGATCAGAGGGACGCGGTTCGTGATTGATCGTGATTTGTGCTGGCTTGAGAACTGTTTCTAGAAGTCAAGATCTTGAGCTCGGTTTGAATATTTGTGATTAGTTTATTGAAAGTTGAGCATTGTTTACTGTTCTTTCTTTTTGTTACAGTTTTTAAGCTGAATAGCAGTATATTCAGTTCAACTGTTGATATTGGGGTTAGGGTTTATTTATTTGTCTAGTTTTGGGGATTTTAAGTGTTGGGTTGGGTAGGATTACTAGATTCTTGAATTGGGCTTGTGGGTGTTTTGGATGAAATGCGGCAATTGTTGATTGATTGATTGATCGAGCTAATTAGAAGCGGATGAGACGCCGGCCGGCGTTGAATAGCCCTTTAGAGCCAATGGATAAGGGAACGGGCAAACATCAACAAAAGAGGCTATGTTTTTTAGCTTCATTGTCTGTAATCTTTTGGATTCTGTTGTTATACTTTCATTTTGCAGTACTTGGAAGTAATACTGCTAGTGAATCTACCCAATTTCCGATAAATCCCACTAACCAGGAATCTACCTCTGTCCATTGGGTCAATGCCCGTGTTACTGAACCCCATAAAGAAGCCAGCAATTTTGTTGATAATAAATCTACCCAAATACAATCCAATCCTGTTATCCCAGATCCCGTTCCTTCCGATTTATCTAATGCTGGAGTTAAAGAAGAACCTGGCAAAAAAGCCACTGATGATGGTAATGATGAAAAGGAGAATTTTCCATTTATCAGGGCATTGAAAACAATCGAGAACAAGAGCGATCCTTGTGGAGGTAGGTACATTTATGTGCATGATCTTCCTCCGAGGTTTAATGAGGATATGCTGAAGGAGTGTAGAAGATTGAGTCTCTGGACCAATATGTGTAAGTTCATGAAAAATGCTGGACTAGGGCCTCCGCTTGAGAATGTTGAGGGGGTGTTTTCCAATACTGGGTGGTATGCCACGAATCAGTTTGCAGTTGATGTGATATTCAATAACAGGATGAAGCAGTATGATTGCTTGACAGATGATTCTTCCATTGCTGCAGCAATTTTCGTGCCATTTTATGCAGGGTTTGATGTTGCTAGGTATCTTTGGGGGCATAATATATCAACCAGAGATGCTGCTTCGCATGATTTGGTTGATTGGCTAATGAAGAGGCCTGAGTGGGGTATCATGGGTGGGAGGGATCATTTTCTGGTGGCAGGGAGGATAACTTGGGATTTCAGGAGATTAACCGATGAAGAAAAAGATTGGGGGAATAAGCTTTTGTTTCTCCCAGCTGCGAAGAATATGTCCATGCTTGTGGTTGAATCAAGTCCCTGGAATGCAAATGATTTTGGCATTCCGTATCCGACGTACTTCCATCCGGCTAAAGATGCTGATGTTTTTATTTGGCAAGACAGGATGAGGAAATTGGAGAGGAAGTGGCTCTTTTCTTTTGCCGGTGCTCCACGTCCTGACAACCCCAAGTCAATCAGAGGGCAGATCATTGACCAGTGTAAGAGTTCGAAGGTGGGCAAGCTGTTGGAATGTGATTTTGGGGAGAGCAAGTGTCATTCCCCAAGCAGCATAATGCAGATGTTTCAGAGCTCCCTCTTCTGCCTGCAACCTCAAGGAGATTCATACACACGGAGATCTGCCTTTGACTCAATGTTGGCCGGTTGCATACCTGTCTTCTTCCATCCAGGTTCGGCTTACACACAATATACTTGGCATCTTCCAAAGAATTATTCTACATATTCGGTTTTCATTCCGGAGGATGACATCCGTAAGAGAAATATTAGCATAGAGGAAAGGCTCAGACAAATTTCTCCTGAGCAGGTTAAGATCATGAGGGAGACTGTTATCAATCTTATACCAAGGCTGATATATGCAGATCCTCGCGCAAAATTGGAGACTCTTAAAGATTCTTTTGATGTTGCTGTACAGGCAGTCATTGACAAAGTTACAAGGTTGAGGAGAAATATCATTGAAGGTCGTACAGAATATGATAATTTTGTGGAGGAGAACGCATGGAAATATGCTTTGCTAGATGAAGGGCAACGTGAGGTAGGAGGTCATGAGTGGGATCCTTTCTTCTCAAAACCGAAGAAGGATGGTAATGGTGAAACTGATGGTTCGTCAGCAGAAGCTGCAAAAAAATCTTGGAAAAATGAGCAAAGAGATCAATCACGGTAGCAGTTGATTATATAACAACTGATGTGATGATATCTACTACCCACGGTTGCTCAGAACACGACTTTTGACCTCGAGTCAGGTGGGTTGTAGGCTTTGCTATGAAATCATTGTAGAAACTGCCATCAAGTATAGGCCATGCTCCATGTTTTGGACCAGAATATACACATTTTCTTCTTCTAATACAGTTTTTAATATAGAATCTCTTACATGTTGCAATCTGAATTTGGCTTAGAAATTCTTTGTAATGTATTGTAGCTCAGAATTCAATTTTTTGTCTTCCTAAGGTGTTCAACCAATGCATACTAGTAATAATCATGAGTGATTAACAAGTATATCTGAGTTAATTGCAGTTAGCTTCGAGTGCGGTTTGCCCTGGATTATTGTCCAATCAATGCACATTGGTTAATGGGAAACTTGGGAGATGATTTCAATCATTCTAAAGAATCTAAACCGTTCTGCTGACATTTAAATTTCTTTAGTTACTTAAGTAGTAGAGTTCTATCACACTATAAAGAATCTGGTAATATTTTTAATATTTAGAAAAGGTGGTAAATTCTATTTAGAATTTAATCATGTATAAATCCCTTCCATGCACTGATGTTATCGTCATGTGCCTCCAACGTAGTTGTAGTTGTGTTTAGATCCACAGGACCTATTCTGTCAATTAATTTTATTTTTTGTTATACGACAATTGTTCTTATACCTGTAAATTAGTTGCATTTGTATAGAATCTGGTTTCCTACATTGATAAAAAATTAACCGAATCATGAAAAGACATGCACTGCTAGATTAAATATGAACTGAAGCATCAGAATTGAAGTATTATAAGCAGGTATCATTATGATAAAAGTTTAACAGTTTAGAGTTCAATTGATGGTGTTGATAAGGGAAAAAACTGAAATTAAATAAATAATAAAAATTTTTAGAATATTTTGAAGTGGGTGTTGAGCTGGATGAGAGTTGTATTGTTAGAAATCTGGAGCCAGCCAACAGAGTTACCGCCACGGTACCTTTCACCGGCATGGGATGTCATGTGTTTTGAAGCTGGACACAACCTGTATTTGTATTGTACTGTAACCCATTCTCTGAAGCGTTCGCGGTGCCCCGGAGTATTCCAATGGGCCAAAGAGACCCTTTTATGTGACGGTACTCAACATGACCCAGCCTAACACATTTGTTGGACTTTATGAATCATCACCCAGCCCAATATGGCCCATATGTGAGCATATTTCTGCACATAAATCTTACAAAATAAAGTCTTTTAAATTACAATTATGGGTTATGGCAATTACAACTGGCCAAACATGATATTGTCCGTTTTGACATGGCAGGGTCTCACAGTTTTGTTTCTAGGCTTTATGCCCAAAATGTGTACTGAGTTAAAGGCCTATAGCCCAGTATATATACACACCTCCTTTCACACGAAGGCATATGAGACTTCATAACATACCCCTCCATTGCATGCACCCCCTCTCACATGGAGAGATGTGGGACTTCACAACATAACTCTATCGCAATCACGTTGATAACATGTTTATAAATGGTCAAACGGTCAAACATAATATTGTCTGCTTTGACACTACATAGCTTCATGGTTTTATTTTTGGGCTTCAAACCCAAAACGCGTTATGTTGGGTTAAAGGTTTATACGTGTTTATAAATGGTCAAACATGATATTGTCCGCTTTGACACTATATGGCCTCATGTTTTATTTATGGGCTTCAAATCCAAAACGCATCATGTTGGGTTAAAGGCTTATAGCCCTATATATATAGGATACACGCACCCTCTCACATAGAGCAATATGAGACTTCAAAACAATGACTTATGAATGTTCTTTTATTTTTATTTAAAAAAAAAAAAGAAACTTTAAACATAAATTCCTGTCACATGTGTGCGCATGAGTAAATATGATATAGAAAATAGTGAAATATGAAGGGTAGCAGTAGCACACTGCAGTGAAGCAAACACAAGCTGCACGGGGCAGAGGGAGCTATTCTGTTTCGGAGAAACATAAGAGCGTCTGCCTGAATCAAATGTAGATTTCAACTAGCCTTTCATTTAATGACAACCATCCACTCCATTCATGTTTCCTTAACAATTTCTCACTTCGACAAAACAAAACTCAGAAACAAAGATTCATAGCATTTAAAATCTAACGTCTATACCACATGTATTAAAACTAACCTTAACTTCTCGTGAAGCTAACTCAAACTCCTTCAGCTCCTCAAGCAGCTACACATTCTCTCCCACTGTCACAACAAACGATCCTCGTGATGAAGAGCTCTTATATTTCACGAGTTTCATATTCTCTCTCAGATCTCTCTAACCCAGTTTTGAATTCTCTTCAACTCCTTCAAATACCCCCACTTTCCTTTCACCAAACCATGCATCCAGTTTCTGGCTTTGTTTTTTACGTTTCACTTAATCCATGGAACCCAAGATTTCCCTTTTTGTTTCTGTTATTTTCTTCTACTTTGTTTCTCTTCACGCAGACACTCTCCAAACCTACGTAGTTCAACTCCACCCACATGGTTTAACTAGCTCTTTGTTCACTTCTAAGCTTCATTGGCATCTCTCCTTCATTGAACAAACCATTTCCTCCGAGGAGGACCCTTCTTCTCGCCTTCTATACTCCTACCATTCTGCCATGGAAGGTTTTGCTGCTCAACTCTCTCAATCAGAGTTTGAGTCTTTGCAAAAGTTGCCTGACGTCATTGCAATTAGACCTGACAGGAGGTTCCAACTTCAGACAACTTACTCTTACAAATTCTTAGGACCAAAGCGGCCCTCAAATGGAGGAGCTTGGTATAGCTCCCATTTCGGTTATGGAACCATAATTGGGGTCCTTGACACTGGAGTTTGGCCTGAAAGTCCAAGCTTTGATGATCAGGGAATGCCCCCAGTTCCCAGGAAATGGAGAGGGATTTGCCAAGAAGGTGAAAACTTCAATGCTTCGAATTGCAACAGGAAACTTATTGGAGCCAGGTTCTTCTCTAGGGGTCACCGTGTGGCTTCAATGTCATCCTCGCCAAATATTATTCAAGAATATGTGTCACCGCGGGATTCCCAGGGGCATGGGACTCATACAGCATCAACGGCTGGTGGAACTTCAGTTCCAATGGCAAGTGTGCTTGGTAATGGAGCAGGCGTGGCTCGAGGAATGGCCCCCGGTGCTCACGTTGCTGTATATAAAGTTTGCTGGTTCAGTGGCTGTTATAGCTCCGATATCTTAGCGGCAATGGATGTTGCAATTATAGATGGGGTTGATGTTCTCTCTCTATCTCTGGGCGGTTTCCCATTACCGCTTTTTGATGATAGCATCGCAATTGGTAGTTTTCGGGCAATGGAGCATGGAATTTCTGTCGTATGTGCAGCAGGAAACAGTGGACCACTCCAAAACTCAGTTGCTAATGAAGCTCCTTGGATAGCTACCGTTGGTGCAAGCACACTAGACAGAAGATTTCCAGCTATTGTTCGGATGGGTAACGGAGGACTCCTTTATGGAGAATCCATGTACCCAGGAAACCAATTATCCAATCTACAAAAAGAGCTTGAACTAGTTTATGTGATAAGTGGTGATGAGAGGGGAAGTGAATTTTGCTTGAGAGGGTCTCTCCCAAAGGAAAAAGTTCGCGGTAAGATGGTGGTTTGTGATCGAGGTATCAATGGAAGGGCAGAAAAAGGTGAAGTTGTGAAAGAAGCGGGTGGCGCTGCAATGATTTTAGCAAATACAGTGATAAACCTGGAAGAGGATTCGGTTGATGTCCATGTCTTGCCGGCTACAGTGATTGGTTTTGCAGAGGCAGTTCGTTTAAAGGCTTATATTAACTCCACAAGGAGGGCTAGAGCTCGAATCATATTTGGAGGAACTGCTATTGGGAGATCAAGGGCACCAGCAGTAGCACAGTTTTCGGCCAGAGGACCAAGTTTATATAGTCCTACCATCCTGAAACCTGATGTAATTGCTCCTGGAGTCAATATAGTTGCTGCTTGGCCTCAAAACTTAGGTCCAACAAGCCTTCCGGAAGATTCAAGAAGGGTGAATTTCACCGTCATGTCCGGGACTTCCATGGCTTGTCCCCATGTCAGTGGCATCACTGCTCTAATCCGCTCAGCACATCCCAAATGGACCCCTGCAGCCATTAAGTCTGCACTTATGACAACTGCTGACACAAATGACCATTTTGGAAAACCGATAATGGATGGGAATAAACCTGCTGGAGTTTTCGCTATCGGAGCAGGCCATATAAACCCAGAAAGAGCAATCAATCCTGGATTGATATATGATATTACACCAGATGAGTATATCACTCATCTATGCACTCTAGGATACACAAAATCAGAAATTTTAGCAATTACACACAGGAACGTGAGCTGCGAAGAAATTTTACAGATGAACAGGGGTTTCAGTCTCAATTATCCCTCCATATCTGTAATTTTTAAGAATGGAAAGACAACCAAAATGACCACAAGGCGACTGACAAACGTCGGGAGTCCTAATTCCATCTACTCAGTGGAAGTAGTGGCTCCAGAAGGCGTCAAAGTGAGAGTTAAACCTCGAAGGATAGTATTCAAGAACATAAACCAAAATTTAAATTATAAAATCTGGTTTACATCAAGGAAGAGAAGTCCAGGAAAAGATAAGATGAGCTTTGCACAAGGACAGTTGACATGGGTTCATTCTGGCAACAGCAGCTTTTACAGGGTTCGAAGTCCTATTTCAGTGACTTGGAAGTAACAGTCGCAGTGGTTATGAGAGTAGTGGCATTTCTAAAAGTAGAGATAGTTCTGCTTTTGTCATTCAGTGAAGACTAACAGTAGTAATGCTAAATTATGTTCGGCCAGAAACATGATAAAGAATCAATAAACAAATATGTTATGAATTATTCAATCAACGCCTAGAAGAGGTTTATAAATTCACACACTGAGACACTTTGCAGTACACGAGAAATGATAGATCTTACGGACACGCATCATTTCTCAGACAAACCTTCCAATAATGAATCGATTCATTAAATATATACTTTCATCTTTTCTGAGACAAATTCCAAAGAAAGATTAACTCATTAAACAAAGTTCAGGAACATGAACTGTCCGCTCAGATGTACATAAAGAAGGAAAGAGAATCATACATTAATAGAAACAGCAAAATTTGTTGTCTTGATGGAGAGAGTGGAGCATTATGGTATTTGCATTAAACCAATAAAGCGGTCAACCGAGGCCTTCAAGTTTCACTGGCATTACACAAAACCAAAGAGGTGATAGGATAAAAGCAAAGCAAACGAGAAACAAGAGAATGAACATTGCCTCAACTTTTGACAAATTGCAATCCATTCTGATTTGCATATCGTTCCATGAACCTCATGAATCTGTCCCACTCTCGGGGAGACCGCATTATATATTTTGCTTCAATCCTTGAAGGCTTTCCATTAACGAATTTTGCACTTACATCAACTGATTGAAGAACCCCTTCCTCATCAATCATATAAAATCCAGTGATATCACCAATTTCATTGGACGAGTCAAAAACTGAGGGTTGATCAAAACTGAATATAGCCATACCGTTTGTACCATCTCTTGATTTGGTTAGCTTCACATCTGGTACAGTCAATTCATCGGTTCCTTGGATGAACTGGATTGTTGGTTTGACCATCATTGTTATGTGTCCAGATATCAGAGAGTTTGTTTTTAATGGGGCCAAGCGTGGGCGAGTCAGGTGTAAAGATTGGCCAATGAAGGGTGAGTGCACACTTCCATGAACAGACCATGTTACTATACCTGTAAAATGAAATACACAAAACAAGTTTTGCTCTTAACATATTAAATTTATAATAGATGGGAAGCTGTTTGTTTTTGCTACTTCTTTTAATGCCTTCCTCAAACATAACAATTTCAGCGAGTTACTAAAGAATTCATAGAGCTCAAACTACTTCTCTCGACGCCGCTTAGTCAATTAATTATGACTTTAGCTCAACCTGAGTCTCCATAACAGTACTCACCCATTTTATCAGACAAACAAGTTATGGGTCAACAATTTAATACTTCTTAAATACATTTCCATAGAAACAATCCACTGAATAATTTTCCTAAACAGGAGAAATGCAATATCAAGAATGTCAAAAGTTTCCTACCGAAAGATACAAATTTTATTAAGCACCCATATCTAGTAATGCTACATGTCCGGGAATTACACTCTTAACAAATTTAAATCCAACCATATTAAGCAAAGGCAAAACATGACCGAAAACAGGAGAAAACATCCTCAAAAACAACTAAAAAAATGTATTTAAAAGTAACTGAAAGACCAAAAACAGTAAAAAACATTCATGCATTGCACAGTTATTGCTTCACTGTTTTCTTTCAGCACTGATTCCAGGAACTTATAAAGGTAAGGGAAAATACCTGACAGAGAGCGTGGTTGGTGTTGACAACAGTGTGAGACCGGAGATGCGAATGCAAGTGAGTGTAGAGTTATTGCCATTGCAAATACACTAACACAGAGACAGAAAGAAGAGTTTGGTGTTGTGATGATGTGAAGCCAAAGTGAGAGTAATGTGTAAGAAGCATAGCCATTCACTTCAAATACTTAGTTGCCTCTAGTCTTCATCATCCGAAGATTTGAGCTATCCAGCCCCAGCCCTCAGCTCAGTGCGTGGCTCTAGACTTGAGATTCTTTAGGCCCTTTAAGTGGCCTATTAAGGATGCCGTCAGCCCAAAAAAATATCAATGGATCTTAAAAGCCCAAAACATTTTCTTAGCGTCGGTGTAATTGATGATGGGACGGCAATTACATTCTCAATTGGGAAATACAAAAGTGATTTGAATATTTATTCACACATTTTATTCTGCCTTTAATGAATAATAGACATATTTTAATTTTAATTTTTTTTTCTTATATCAATTTGCATACAGAAACAACAAAAAATGTATAGGTGTATACTTGATTATTGAATTGAATTCAAGATGACTTTTGTATTCAAATAAAGATGGTCCTTTTCAAGGCACCGTGTTTGAACCGAACTTCGACACGAAGCAATACATAGAATTAAGAAAGGAGAGGAAACGAAGCCGCAATTGTCTTCTTAGAATTAAGAATGAAACGACGACGTGGGAGTGGCATCCAATTCCAAAAGCAAAAGCGAAAAAGATTAAGGCCAAGGCAATCCACGTGTCTTGTGCAGCAACTGTTATTGATTCACTGAACCATACCAATCGGCTTCCACCAAACCTTGGAAATTTGTTTAGTCAATGTTTGAACTACCTGTGTTTATTACAGTGTGTAGAAAGTGCAAGAAATTTGTGTCTTCTAACAACTAAAGTTTTTTAAATATTAATGGCTTCATTAATGGGCCCTACCCCTGCAGATTCATAGGTTGGAGGAAGCGTGGACCATGTTACACATTTTGTCTTCTCACCATCTGCCTATTTTTTTAATTAATTGCTCTTATACCTATTATGTAACATTTTTATTAATGAAATTAAATAAATATGTATGTGTAATAAACAAGTCAAATTAAAATGAGTTTTACACAAAATAACACGGGGGTGAGGTGTGTTAGACATTGTAAAATCCACCACAGTGGGGACCAGTAATCCTACGTGTCACGTGTTAATAACTGTTCCAACACGCTTTACCCACAGTTGACCCACTGCCCCTCTCTGTCTTTGCTAATATACACTAACACAAACACCTCTCTCTTTTTTTTATACAAGAAAAATACTAGCGGTAGCGGGGAGCAGCGAAGCGGACCACGACCCCCTCCTGTTTTTAAACATTACGCCATTGGTGACTCTGACTCAGACTCAGTCTTCTCCCTCTGTCGGCTCGGCCCCATTCTACTCACGAGACCTCCATGCTTCTCCTCTTTTTTTTCAGTTGACCGTCGGTCTTCTTCTTCTTTTATCCTGCAATTTTGGACTCATTTCTTTTTTCTTTTTTTTCTCTTTATATATACATATACAAACCAAACAAACCAAGAATCCATTCCATTCCTTTGAACCAAGCTTTCCTTTTCTTACTTTCTTCTCAAGTTTTCAAGATCGTTTGATCGGAATACGTAATGACGATGGGAGGAGTGGACGAAGGAAGATTAGCCAGGAAGTTCTGGATCAAGTTCAAGAACGAGTCTGTTTTTATTATGTACAGTCCTTTCTTTGTTTCTTTAGCCTCTGGGACTTTGAACTCTGATACTTTTCTTAATTGCGTCTCTCAAGATGTTCATTTCCTTAAAGCCTTTGCTCACTCGTAAGAATCTTCATTATCGATCCTTTTCTTTATTTTATCACTTTTCTACCTTAGATTTAGATTAGATTGAAACGTCCTATTTTAATCTTTTTCCTTTTTTTTTTTTTTTTTTTTAGTTATGAATTGGCAGAAGAATGTGCAGACGATGAAGAAGACAAGTGTGCCATACGCAAGCTTCGGAAACGTGTTAAACATAAGCTTAAAACGCTCGATACGCTTGTCAGCGTAAGCTTACCTTTTTTCTTTTTCTTTTTCTTTTCTTTTTGTTTTTGTTTTTGTTTTATTCTTCTGATTACATGGCATTTTCTTGTCAATTAGTAGCTGCTAAGATTAACATTCATTTGCTATTGATTGATAATTGAAGATAAGTGGAGTAGTTGAGTTGGATATATCACACTTTACAACTAGCAATGCATTTTATTACTAACCAACCATCTATATTTGGTATCGGCAAACCCAAAGACTTAACCGGGCTTCTTTTTACTTGCCTCATTGTTAATTAAACAATTATTTGTTTCCTAGGATTCAACGCGTTGTAACCACAAACACGTAAAGTTTAAGGAACGATAATTATTGTCGTTTTATTCTAAGCAGTTAATGTTCAAAGGGGACAGGACATTATTGAGTCGGTAATTTGCATGTATTAGGTAAATGTGTAATTGGCTATTGCTGAAGAAACCCAAGAAGTTATCTTTCAGTTTGGGCTGGCCTCATCTGGATATCTGAAAGATTTACGGATTCGTATAACAGGCCATGAACTTTTGAAATTACCTGAAAATTAGCGGAAAAGGTGTTGTTATCTATAAATTGCATTCGTCCGCTGGTTCAAGACCATTAAAGCACAAAGTGGCATTTTTCTCTGCTCAAATATGCTAAAATGTCCTTTGTTTGATTTAGTGGACTGATAGGTTACATGAGTTGAACAATTATTGGTATTTGTTGCCGCTTTTCGACTAAGCTGAAACTCCTATAGAATCCATCTTGTGTTTCTTTCCTAGAACATGAGGTGTTGATGTTTCCTTTGTTTCTGATATAAGCATGCTTTAGATTTTGATATAACCATGCTAACCTGCCCACATTGATTCAGGACTTAGCATGACTCTTGAGTGTGCCATAGGTCCATGGGCTTTTTGATGTTTTTCTTTTCCCAGTAACTAATCCTATTGAGTAAACTATGAACTTCAACTGTATATGGCAATGACCCGTTATTTTCCTTTCCCCTTTCATTCATGCTCGTGGTTGTTTTCAGTATATATTCTGAAGGAGTCTCTTCTGCAGGAATGGGGCTTTGAACTCCCAGAAGAGTGCATTACCAACAATGCAACACTCAAATACACAGACTTTTTGCTGGCAACAGCCTCCGGTAAAGTTGAAGGAGAAAAAGTTCTTGGCAAAATCGAAACTCCTTTTGAGAAGACAAAAGTTGCTGCTTATACAATTGGTGCTATATCACCTTGCTTGAGGCTCTTTGCATTTATAACTAAAGAGATCCAGCCTCTTCTAGATCCTAATGATAGTTCTCACGTTTACAAGAAGTGGATTGAATATTATTGCTCTGAAAATTTTGAGGTTTGTGAGATTACTAAGATTTTTTCCATGATGTTTTGTTTGATACCTTGCTGATCGAATCAAACAAATACTGGTTCCAGGAATTAACTGCGCAAACTGAGGAGTTGCTGGATAAACTAAGTGTTTCTCTGACAGGAGAAGAGCTTGATGTCATTGAAAAGCTCTATCATCAAGCTATGAAACTTGAAGTAGATTTTTACTCTGCTCAACCAATGGTGCAGCCAACAGTAATTCCTTTGTCTTGGGTTAAGGATCCTGTGGAAGGCCAACTTACCATATTCTGTGACTTTGACTTGACGTGCACCGCTTTCGATTCCTCTGCCATTTTAGCAGAAATTGCAATTGTAAGATCACAAAAGGCTGATCCTGATCAGTCTGAATCAAAACTCACTCGAATGTCATCTGCTGATTTGAGGAATACATGGGGAGTTCTTTCCACCAAGTATACTGAAGAGTATGAACTATGCATAGATAGTATATTGCCTTCTGAAGCAGGTATGATGAACAGTTGATTGATTAATTTTGATAGTAGATTTATATGCCTTGGTAGTTTGACAATGGTGTGGTAAAAATTTAATTCTTTTAGGGCATGTTTGGTTCAAAGATTTGACAAAATATTGGTATGATTTAGATTTGTAACCCAGAACTCCAGATAAAATTAGTGTAGCAGCTGTATTTCTCTTTATTTTCCTTTTTCAGTGTTGGTGTTAAGCTATATAAACCTTGTGCTGTTATTGAATCAATACAACTTTCAGTTAACAGCATGAAATGTTTGCTGAAACTTCTATGCTTACGATGTCATCTGCTTTTGCAGTAGGAAAATTTGATTATAAAGGTTTGTGTGAAGCACTCAAGCAACTTGCAGAGTTTGAGAGGAAGGCAAATTCAAGGGTGGTAGAGTCAGGAGTACTGAAGGGTTTAAATCTGGAGGACATAAAACGAACTGGTCAACTTCTCATGCTTCAAGATGGATGTAGAGGGTTCTTCCAAAAGATTGTAAAATGTGAAAATTATAAGACTGATGTTCATGTTCTTTCGTACTGTTGGTGTGGTGATCTTATTCGGTCTGCTTTCTCATCAGGTACTCATATTTGGAACTTATATATCTTCTGTCTTTTATTTTTATATACTGAAACTTTATTCCAAAAAATATATACTGTTGTACTTACTAGATTGGTCCATTTTGAAAACAAAATACTATAAACTATGGTCCACTTTGATGGTGATACTTGACTTAAAGACTCAAAATTCTAACTGTATATACGACCCCTGTTGTTTTTGCCTGAAACTGGAAATTTATTGAAGTGACTCTGGGAAGAAATTCTTTCAAATCATTTTAGCTTTGCTATTAAGTTGTTTGCTTATACATAAGGATCATTATTATGCTTACTAATCTTTTCCATGACTGGAAAGGAATGAGATGGTCTGTTATCAGTCTACACATCTCGTCATTCCTCCATGAAGTAGTTAAAAGTTTGAAATTAGTGGTTTAAAAATTTTGAGACATTGAACTCTTTCATAGTGTTTTGTTTCTTGTCAGTAAAGTTAATGATTTTATTTTAATTATCAAGAGATGAGAGGAAGATAAATTCTGATACAACCATTTAAGTTCAACTAAGCTAAGATTGAAAGTGGTTTAGGGGAAAGGAACAACAGGGGTGATATGCAGGGTTTGTTCTTGTTTCTATTAAAGATTTGGATGTTGGATGGTAAGAAGTTTCATCTCTTACTTTATTGTAATGTAGCTGATGTTTTTGAAGCCTGAAGGTGAATTTTAAAGAATATAATAATATGCTGTCTTTGTTGATAGGATTCCATGATTGACAGGAATATTTCAGCATAAACCTTATGATTATATAAATATGTGTGATCTATTCCCATTCTCTTTTATGCACAACTTGAGGAATCCTGCTGAATCTAATTTTTCGATTTTTACTTCCTTTTTGTTGTTTCAAGCTCTTGTGTATCTTCCCTTTCATTGCAGGGGATCTAAATGTGCTGAAAGTACATTCAAATGAATTAGTATATGAAGAATCCATATCGACAGGTGATATTGTTAAGAATCTGGAGTCTCCCTTGGAAAAGCGTCAAATCTTCAATGACATTGTAAAGGACCGCAGCAATAATGAGCAGAACTTGACAGTTTATATTGGAGGTTCACCAGCTGACTTGCTCTGCCTTCTTGAAGCAGATATAGGCATAGTATTTGGTTCAAGTTCAAGCCTGAGGAGACTGGGTGAGCAGTTTGGGGTTTCTTTTGTCCCATTGTTCTCTGGTTTGGTAGAGAAACAAAAGGAACTTACAAACGGCGGTTCCTTTACATGGAAAAGAATGTCCGGCACATTATACACAGTTTCTAGTTGGGCTGAAATACAAGCATTTATTCTGGGGTCATAACTTGCGACCTTCTAAGCGGTATCTAGTTACTTGTTTGAAGAAACCGGATCATAGATTCATTTACAACAGTAGGATATACAGATTATATAGATGGTGGCTAATTTTACTGGAGGGCCACCGGTAAGCCCTTAATTCTTTTTTCTTCTTTAGGGTCTGCCATCCAATAATATAGAGATTTTGTAATTAGAGTCACAATAACATTGTTACAGTCTAAACAAATTGTTAATCCCCTTGTTTTACACCTTCTGTGTTTACTTTTATAATTTTTCCTTTCATGGTTTCTTGTTGCATATTAAGCCTTGCAACAAGATGACTTTTCTCATAATGCTGAAGAGGGAAAAGATACTATTTCGCTGGGTTGTATAATTGATTAATGTTGATCTTGAATTTGAACTCAAATAATATTTTCTTATATTGGTTCATTCTTCTCAACTTGTTATTAGGGCAATATTACGTTGATAAATTAATCTCATAAATTTTCTTTCACAAATCCAGTGTAGCAACTGATAATTGGTTTTTGATAGATAAATTTATCAAAAAGCAATTATCAGCTATTATGTTGAGTTTGTGAGGGAAAATTTGTGAGATTCGTCTATCGGCTTAACTTTATTGTTATTATTTGTTCAATTAGCATGTAAATACATGTTTTGTTTCTTTTTCACTCAAATAAATAAATACAGGTTTAATGCGTGTTTTACTGAGACAAAAACAAGTGAACTATCTCCTCAAATTCAGTAACCCTTTTAAATTCAATTCATTGTACTTGGAAAGTTGAAATAACTAACCAACTGATAAGCAAATCTACCCCTTGAATCAAGACAAGAATATAAAATCAACCTTCTTAACGGGTCTTGAAATACCTATATTTTGGTAATGGGTCATCGGCCCAAAAAGACAAGAGGAGAAATAAGAATCCTAAAAATTAATATGAATAATAAGGTCCAGGTCCAATCAGAGTGATTAATTTATGATAATGAAAATGTAAGAATAGGCAGCAGAATTCATGAATGTGGAGGAGAGGGAGGGCACATGTGCGACATCTGATCCCTTTTCGATCGTGAAAGGCTGGTTTTGGCATAAACCCATGTGGTGGCACGTAAGATTTCATCCTACCCAATCCCAAATCACCATTTTCAATTTATAAAACTCTCTCTAATAATAAGCAAATCCCACAAGAAGTGATTCCCTAGGAAGCTGCTGTTTCACATGGCTTCTAAGCTACTTTAATTCATCTCTACTCTCTTACTTGGGACATTTTAATTCACTCCTCCACATGTCTCCATGTGGGAATTACCAGTTTTTGTTCTGTTTTTTATGTTTATCTTTTTCATGAATATCATTTATAATGTGCATCACTTCCTCCCATTTCCCCTCTTGTTTCCCTTTTTTTTCTATTTCTTGTTTTCTTTAGTGTTTCTTTTGGTTTTCATGTGATCACAACACTAACACTCCTTTCTAATTTAACATATTTTCACTCTTTTTCTCCTATAGAAACCAAAGTTTCATCTTTTTCTTTCCTTTTCTTCTTTATTTTTCTACTTGATCAAGTTTAGATCATTTCCTTTCAATACCAAAAGGCAAACTGCTGTTAATTTCTACATTTTACTTACTTCCCATAGAGGAAGAGCCAACTGGGTTGTATAATAAAATTTCAGTTTTGATATTATGTACTCATCTAGTAACATTTTTTTGTCAACTATATCAGCTAGTGTTTGAAGGAAAAAGGAGAATGTAAGGATAAAATAAAAAATGAAAAAAAAAAACTTGGTTGATTTTGTCTTTGTTCTGTGTTTGGATTATAGACATAACATGTATAGATTCCTTCACTTTCAATCATAACCAATAACTAAAACCAACCTAAAACCACTTATAATTAATTAACTAATTAATGCATGATGGGTTTGATCTGGTTCTTTAAAATAAACCCCTAAGATCAAGACAATGTGGATTGTTCAACTGAGGCAAGCTCACCATTATATGATCATCAGAATTATTGCAACTTAGAGTAAGGATTTATTTGACTCTGGGGGACCAAACAAAAAAATATATATATATATATGTACTGCTAGTCATTGCCATGTGGGCTCAATGCTGGGGGTTTGAAGTGTTCACATGTTCTTCAAATTAATTCATCATTCCTAATTCCTTGTCATACTTAGAAGTTACCCAAATACTTTGGTTGAGGGAAAGTCTTGGATGAAACCTAAATAATTTAAGCATGCACCCTTGGGTTCCACACCTCTGTAAAATACTTCAAAGTAGCCTTTTAACAATAATATATTCCCTCTGTACATTGTTCTAAGTAATCAATATGCATCTGGGTGAAAACCAGAACCCAGCTGTGAAATATGTCAAAAGCCTTCTATATTAATAAAGAAAAATGAAGAGAGTTGTGGTGGTGCACGAAGTTATATAAGTTAATCTATGCAGCAGGGGGTGAAATAAGAATACCCTTATGACAGTTTAATGTTATAATTAAGGTATAAGATTATGATATAAAATATTATAAGAAATAAAGAAGTACAGCGTTCATATTTACTCAGTTGACTGTCATAAAATCATATTGATATATATTCAGAGGAGAAGAAGTAGAAGGAAGTATCAGTGGTAAGAACACATTCTTTGCCCATGTTTAATGTCGGAGAAGCTTCCAATAAATCCAAAAACTTCCCCGTCATTACTTGTTGATTAACAGCTGTTGCAGAACCCAAGATCTCACGAGCTCTCCAATAATTAAACTCTAATCACATCTTTCTTTATTATTTTTATACCAACACTTATACATTAACCAATCTTCTTCCCATTGCTTCTCATATAAGCATAACATACTCACATTCTCTCTTTTTACTAAAACACCTCACCTACACTAACTGTCTCTCTAGCTAGCTGGTCTAGAGATTGGCAATGGTGGAAAACTAAAAGACACGAACTAAAGGCAATCAAGAAGAACAATATGCGGTTGAAAGTTCAGTTTTTGGTCTTCTTCTACTGTTACATTGTTTGTTCTTATCTTGGTCTTGCCAAGCTTGTTCAAAATACTGCCTTGAATGATGAAGCATCGGCTTTACTGTCGATAAAAGCTGGTCTCATCGATCCATTAAAACGTATTCATGATTGGAAGTTGCCGGACAATGAAGCTGGAAAATATTCAGTTCATTGTAACTGGACAGGAGTATGGTGTAACTCCAACGGAGCTGTTGAAAAGCTGGATCTCTCCCACATGAATGTTAGTGGCCGCATATCAGATGACATTCAAAGGCTACAAAGCCTTACTTCTCTCAACATGTGCTGCAATGGATTCTCTTCATCATTGCCAAAATCTATAGCGACACTCACTTCACTGAAGAGCATTGATGTGAGCCAGAATTTCCTTGTTGGTAGCTTCCCAGTTGGATTCGGAGGAGCAGCTGGACTGACTTTTTTAAATGCTTCAAGCAACAACTTTTCAGGATTTATTCCTGAGGATCTTGGCAATGCAACTTCACTGGAGACTTTAGATCTCAGAGGAAGTTTCTTTGAAGGCTCAATTCCTGTGTCCTTCAAGAACTTGCAAAAGTTGAAGTTTCTTGGCCTTTCTGGCAATAATCTCACTGGCCAGATACCGAGAGAGCTTGGGCAACTTTCATCCCTGGAGAGTATAATAATTGGATACAATGAGTTTGAAGGAGAGATACCACCGGAGTTTGGAAATCTCACTAGCCTCAAGTATCTTGATTTGGCGGTTGGTAATCTTGGTGGGGAGATTCCAGCCGAATTGGGGAGGCTTACGCTACTGGAAACAGTGTTCTTGTATAAGAACAATCTCAAAGGCAAGATTCCAGCATCAATAGGCAACATTACTTCATTACAATTGCTGGATCTCTCTGACAATATGTTGTCAAATGAAATTCCAGATGAGATTTCTGAGCTGAAAAATTTACAGCTCCTGAATCTGATGTGCAACCAGCTGTCTGGCCAAGTCCCTGCTGGACTCGGGGGGTTGACTCAATTGGAGGTGCTTGAGCTGTGGAACAATTCATTTTCAGGTCCACTGCCTATTGATCTTGGCAAGAATTCACCATTGCAGTGGTTGGACGTATCGTCCAATTCATTCTCTGGTGAGATCCCAGCAAGTTCGTGCAATGGAGGCAACCTCACCAAGCTCATTCTTTTCAACAATGCCTTCTCAGGTCCAATCCCACCTAGCTTATCAACTTGTCAATCACTTGTTCGTGTTCGAATGCAGAACAATCAGATTTCTGGTACAATTCCCCTTGGGCTCGGCAAACTTGGGAAGCTTCAGAGGTTAGAGTTAGCAAATAATAGTCTCACTGGTCAAATCCCAGATGATATTTCTTCTTCAACTTCACTTTCTTTCATTGATTTATCTAGAAATCAACTCCGATCTTCACTTCCTTCCACCATTCTTTCCATTCCAAATCTGCAAACTTTTATAGCCTCAAATAATAACTTAGTTGGAGAAATCCCAGACCAGTTTCAGGACTGTCCTGCACTTTCTGTGCTTGATCTCTCATCAAACCATTTTTCTGGTAGCATTCCAACTAGTATTGCTTCGTGCCAAAAATTAGTAAACTTGAATCTTAGGAACAATCAATTGACTGGAGGAATTCCTAAAGCAATAGCCATGATGCCCACATTGGCTATTCTTGATCTATCGAATAATTCTCTAACCGGTGGAATACCCGACAGTATTGGAACCTCTCCTGCCTTGGAAATGCTCAATGTTTCATACAACCGGCTAGAAGGTCCAGTTCCTGCAAATGGTGTGCTAAGAACAATAAACCCAAATGATCTTGTTGGCAACGCTGGTCTCTGTGGTCGTGTCCTCCCTCCATGCAGCGGGTACTCACCAATGACATCGCGCCAGAGGAGCTTACAGACAAAGCACATTCTCGCTGGATGGATCATTGGGATTTCATCTGTTTTAGCAGTTGTAATCGCAGCTTTTGGTGCGCGATCTCTATACAAAAAGTGGTATTCAAATGGAAGTTGCTTTGAAGAAAGATTGGAAATGGGCAATGGAGAGTGGCCCTGGAGACTGATGGCATTTCAGAGGCTTGGCTTCACAAGTGGTGACATTCTAACCTGCATCAAGGAATCAAATGTGATTGGAATGGGAGCAACAGGAATTGTTTACAAGGCAGATATAGCGCGGTTGAACACTGTCGTGGCATTTAAGAAGTTATGGAGATCTAGAACTGACATTGAAACAGAAAGCAGTGGCGATTTTGTAGGAGAGGTCAATGTCTTGGGGAAGCTAAGACATAGAAATATAGTTCGGTTATTAGGATTCCTTCACAATGACACCAACATGATGATAGTATATGAGTATATGCCTAATGGCAACCTCGGAGATGCCTTGCATAGCAAGCAAACTGATAGGCTGTTAGTTGACTGGGTTTCTAGATACAACATAGCACTCGGAGTCGCTCAAGGCCTTACTTATCTCCACCATGATTGTCACCCACCCATTATCCATCGTGACATCAAGTCAAATAACATATTGCTTGATGCAAATCTTGAGCCAAAGATTGCTGATTTTGGGTTGGCGAGGATGATGGTTCGTAAGAATGAGACGGTTTCCATGGTGGCTGGATCCTATGGATATATTGCCCCAGGTGAGTTACTACTTTTATTCCAGAATTTGTCAAAATTAACTGTCTTGACATTTTCGAACTAAGATTAATATTTACTTGTATTATATTTTTACAGAGTATGGATACACCATGAAGGTTGATGAAAAGATTGATATATATAGCTTCGGAGTGGTACTATTGGAGCTTCTGACAGGAAAGAGGCCTGTAGATCCGGAGTTCGGAGAAAGTGTAGACATTGTCGAATGGATTCGAAGGAAGATTAAGGAAAACAGAAACTTAGAAGAAGTATTAGAGTCGAATGTAGGAAACTGTAAGCATGTTCAAGAGGAGATGCTGTTGGTCCTTAGAATAGCACTACTTTGCACAGCTAAACTCCCCAAGGACAGACCATCCATGAGGGATGTAATAACTATGCTTGGTGAGGCGAAACCTCGAAGAAAAAGCACAAGTAACAACGATCGATTTGCAAATAACAAACCAAACCCTGTCTTTAGCACATCACCTGTAAATGGCCTTCTGTAGGAACAGGAAGGAAAATAATTCCATTCCCTTCGGGCCGTCATTTGTTAAAACTAATTTTTATTTTGTATGTAGAATTGTTTTTGTTAATGTTTGTAATCACTGGTTTATATTGGTGTCCAGAATATTATCGAGTACATGAAATTCAAACTTTTCTGGCAAATAAAGTTTCATTTTTTTGGTGAATTTAAGCTGGGATGTCACTTTTCTTGGTGAATTATTCTCCTATAGTGCTAGATAAGAACAACAAAAATCTCCTTCAGTGTTTTAAGTTAACTTCTGAACTTTCCATATTTCAGCAATTTCAAAGAATTAGCTACTAAGTTATATAAACATGAAACAACAAAGCTTTTCTTATCTAGGATGGGATATTCTCAGCATGTCTCACTAAGACGATGATAAGTCTGTGTCATTCAATTATCGTCCCATAANATTTTTTTGGTGAATTTAAGCTGGGATGTCACTTTTCTTGGTGAATTATTCTCCTATAGTGCTAAGATAAGAACAACAAAAATCTCCTTCAGTGTTCTAAGCTGAGTACCTTCTATACTTCTGGACTTTCGATATTTCAGCAATTTCAAAGAATTAGCTACTAAGTTATATAAACATGAAACAACAAAGCTTTCTTATCTAGGATGGGATATTCTCAGTGTTAAGAAATATAGGGTTATTTTGTTTTATTGTTTATTAAGGGTAGAATAGTCTTTTCATTATTTCCTTATTTTTTTCAGTTTTCTTTGTTTAGCCTATATATAGTCTATTTGTATTTAGGTTAAATTATTCTTTTGTATTCGATTGCATTGTGCAGTATCAATGAAACCCTAGTCTCCTCTTTTTTTTTTTTTTTTTTTTGGAGTGACCGTACAATTTCGAGAGGGTATTCGTTCAGTTTCTGCAGTTTGGTATTTCGTTTTCCTTTCTTTTGCATTCTGATTTTCTTTGTTTTTTTATTATGGCTACTGAAAGAGACGATTTGCTTCAGTCTGTGAGTGTGAGGTTAGATGGAAAGAATTATTCATATTGGAGTTATGTGCTGAGAAATTTTCTTAAAGGTAAAAAGATGTGGGGATATGTTAGTGGAACTTCTGTGAAACCTATGAATACTAATGAGGGTTATGTTGCTTTAATAGATGCCTGGGAAGCAAACAATGCAAAAATTATTACTTGGATTAACAATTCTATTGAGCATTCCATAGGTACACAATTGGCGAAGTATGAGACGACAAAAGAGGTTTGGGATCATCTGCAAAGGTTATTTACTCAATCAAATTTTGCAAAACAGTATCAATTGAAGAATGACATACGAGCTCTTTAGCAGAAGAATATGAGTATTCAAGAGTTTTATTCTGCTATGACAGATCTTTGGGATCAGTTGGCTCTTACAGAATCTGCAGAATTAAAGGCATGTGGTGCCTATATTGCTCGTAGAGAGCAGTAACGGTTGGTACAGTTTTGTAACGCCCACTTTGAGGTACGTAGTTTTGTATGCTTATTTTTGTCTTGGTGTTGTTTTTTGGCCTTAAGTTAAATTGCTATGTTGTTATTGTTGATTGGTTGCCCTTGGGTAAGTTTGTAAGGTGTTAAAGTTGCTTGGATGCCCTGAATTTGGTGAAGCCTTGGAGAATTATGGAAGTGCAGACTTCGCCAGGGCGAAGAAGAAGGTTCACCGTGGCGACGTATGCTCTGTATTTTTTCGTCGGGGCGAAGAGTCGACTGATTTTTCTAGTGAAGTTTCTAGAGAATTTTCCATAGGGGTGAAGTGACCATTCTACCCCTAATTAGCAGGAAAAGTAAGGAGTGAAATGCAAGGAAATTTCAAGGAGAATGCATTGGAGTGGGGGTGGATGTGTAAAGAATTAAAGGGTAAAGATGGAATTTTCAAGAAAGTGCAAGGGCAAAATGGGAAAGAGTGCTTATTTATATGAGCTAACAAGGGTTTAGCCTTAGAAACCCTCACATTCTCTACACCCCATACACTTCTACTACCCTCCATTTCTCTCAATTCTTCATCCATTTTGGTAAGGAAATTGAGGGCTTTTGGTTGGATTTTGACAAGGATTTGATCCTAAGCTTCAAGAGGTAAGAATTCTTGCTCTAGACATGAGATTAATTTAGTATGGAATTCTTATAGAGTTGATGCTTAGGGTTTGAGAAAGAGAATAAGTCCAACAAAGATAGTGAGCTTTTGTGAAACTACTCAAGAAAAAGGTAAGTAAATACAACAATAACCCTTGTTTGAGCAAGTAAAGCATAGAGATTGTATTATGTGAATTTTATATGAGGTTCATATGCTTGAGATTTGTGTATGAAACTTGTTATTGAGTTTGATGATGATCCATGAATGGGTTTTCTACATGAGAAGGGTTGGTTGAGTTGATAGATTTTGATAGAAGTTGGATTGAATTTAAAAAGAGTTTAAGAGCATTTATGAAGTGTATTTTCTTGGCTAAGATTTGTGATGTTCAAGGGAGTTTTACTCTAATTATGGATGGTTTAAGAAAGAAGGAGAAGTATAGTTAAAGTAGAATTTAAGTATGCATGCTTGTTGTTTGATGAAATACCTAAGAGAAGCATATGCATGAATGGAGAAACTTAATTTTGTGCAACATTGCATATTTGCATTGCATAATTGCACCTAAGAAAGAAGCATAAGCATGAGCCATCCACATGCATATATTTCCATATGCATAAGAACTTAAAGAAAGAATAAAGAACTTTAAGAGTAAAGAGAAAGAAAGAAAAGCACTAAAGAATTAAAGAAAGAAAAGTGTTAAAGAAGAGAAAAGAATAGGTTGTTGCGATGGGGAACCAGTGAGTGCTAAGAAGAAGAAATTCTCATATACACGCTACCTTAATTGAGTGGCATAAGAAGAAGAAGAATTTGTACGGCCCGTAAGAGTGTATGTGGATGAGGGCTGTATCAAGAAGAATTTCCTACATGCACGCCACCTTAATTGAGTGGCCTAAGAAGAGGAAAGAATTTGTACAGTCCGCAAGAGTGCATGTAGATGAGGATTGGACTCACCCACACGGCCAGGGTTTCAAATCCATGCATCAACCGAGTCCGATCGGCACAGAATCAGAATAAGAATAAGAATAAGAATAAGAGAGAATAAGAAAGAATGAGAAAGAATGAGAAAGCTTGAGCAAGCAAGAAAAGCAAGAAAAGAAAAGAAGAGCTTGAGCAAGCAAGAAAAGAAACAGAATAAGAAAGAGAAAGAAGAAAAGAAAACGCATGTCTATGCATTACTGCATATGCATTTCATTCATGCATGTTACCATGATTTCCATCATGGTTAGTGAGACTAAGATAGAAAGAAAGAATAGAAAGAAAGAACAAAGAGAATTGGAAAGAAAGGAAAGAACCAAAGTATAAGTCGTGGGGATAGAGGAGTAGAGGATTTACTTACTGAGCATATTTATGCTCACCCCGTTGTTTTTCCATGTTTTGTAGGAAATAGGTGAAAAGCAATCGGATGGACGTCGACAAGCAGAGAGAAATGGCATGACTGTCCACCTTTGTAAAAGCTTTTGTATTTGTGGTTTTGCTATGTACAGAGTAATATATGTTAAGCAAAGAAAAATTTTGGGCCCAACTACTTTTCATTATTAAGTATGTATATTTTTCATAGAATATGTTCTAAGTATACTAGTAGAAAAGAAGTTATTACAGTTTTTAACGGCACTTCGTAGTGATTTTGAAGGACTTAGAGGTTCAATTTTGCATCGTTCTCCACTTCCTTCTTTTGACTCAGTTGTTAGTGAGTTATTGACTGAACAAATACGACTTAAGTCTTATTCTGGAAAACGAATTCTTTCTACTTCTAATCCTTCTGTGTTAGCAGTACCTTCTAAGCCACTCTTTAATAATCAAAATATGCCTTACACAAGGGCTGCCTTCGATGAGTATAGTTTCTATAAGCATAAAGGTCATTGGAAGGCTCAGTGTTCTAAGTTGAGACAACAGAATCAATCGCAGCAACAATCTCAAGCTTGGAAGCCTGGCAACCGGTCACAATCTAATGCTTCTAGACCACCTCAGGGTTATAAACCACTACAGTCTAATACTGTAGCAATAGTTTCATCAGGTCCTTTCACCGATCCTAGTACTCTGGCTGAGCAATTTCAGAAGTTTCTCTCCTTATAGCCACAAGCTATGTTTGCTTCTTCTTCCGTAAGTCGGTTCCCTCATAGTTCTTCAGGTATGTCACATTTTGTATGGGTCTTGGATTTTGGTGCGTCATATCATATGTCTCCAGATTCTTCATCTTTTGCTTCTGTGTCTCCTTCATCTTCTATTCCTGTCATGACTGTTGATGGCACTCCTATGCCTTTAGCAGGTGTTGGTTTTGTTGTCACACCTCACTTGTCTCTCCCTAATGTTTATCATATTCCGAAACTCACATTAAATCTTGCTTCTGTTGGTCAGTTATGTGATTCTGGTAATTTAGTCACCTTTTTCTCTTCTTCTTGTTATGTGCAGGATCTACAGTCTCAGAAGCTGATTGGGACAGGTCGTAGGAAGGGGGGACTATATATTTTGGATGAGTTAAAAGTGCCAGTTGCTGCTGCTACTAGTGTTGATTTGTCTTCTGAGTCCTTTTTCTTCTAGTTTTTTTTTTTTTTTTTTTATGGCATTCTCGTTTAGGTCATGTTTCGTCTTCTCCTTTGAGATTTTTGGCATCCACATGGGTTTTAGGAAATTTACAAACTTGTGATATTTTTTATTGTAGTGGATGTAAACTGGCAAAATTTCAGCTTTACCTTTTAATCGAAGTATTTCAGATTCTTCTTCTCCATTTGATTTGATTTATTCGGATGTATGGGGCCCTTCTCCGATTGCCACAAAAGGAGGGTCTCAATATTATGTTTCTTTTATTGATGATCATACTCGTTATTGTTGGGTTTTTTTTAATGAAACATCGTTCTGAATTCTTTGAGATATATACAGCCTTTTGAGCTCTTGTCAGAACTCAACATTCTGCTATTATCAAATGTTTTAGGTGTGATTTGGGTGGGGAATACACTTCTAATAAATTTTGTGAGTTGCTTGCCTTAGATGGAACTGTTCACCAAACTTCGTGTACAAATACTCCTGAGCAAAATGGTGTTGCTAAAAGAAAACATAGGCACATTGTTGAAACTGCTTGTGCTCTCTTGTTGTCTGCTTCTGTTCCTAGTGTGTTTTAGGGTGAAGCTGTTCTTACTGTTGTATGTTTGATTAATACAATTCCATTTTCTCATATTTCAGGTTTTTCTCATTTCGAAAAGTTGTATAGGTATGCCCTTGATTATTCTTTCTTTAGAGTTTTTGGTTGTACTTGTTTCATTCTTCGTCCTCATGTAGAACGCAGCAAGTTGTCCTCTCGATCTGCTATTTGTGTCTTTCTTGGTTATGGTAAAGGTAAAAAGGGGTATCGTTGTTTTGATCCAATAACTCAGAAACTTTATGTGTCTTGTCATATTGTTTTTCTTAAGCATATACCTTTCTTTTCTATTCCATCCACTACTCATAACTTGACTAGATCTGATCATATTCGTATAGATCATTTTTCTGAGGATTCTGATAGTTTGTCATCTTAGGTTCCTAGTACTTCAAATACCCCTTCTCATGTTCTTACCCCGTAATCTTTACATTATACTTGACCAATTCGAACTAATCATTCTGCAGGTCCGACACTTTACTCTCCTACACACCTGAAGCTCCCTCTTCTCCTATGGTCCCTCAAGCTCCTTCTGAGATTGTGGATCCACCTCTACATCAATCCATACGCATTCGTAAGTCCACAAAGTTACCAAATTTTGCTTATTCTTGTTATTTTTCATCTTTTACTTCCTTTTTAGCTTCTATTCATTATCTCTCTGAGCCCTCTTCCTATAAAGAGGCAATTCTTGATCCTTTTTGGCAGCAAGCTATGGATGAGGAACTTTCTGCTTTGCATAAGACAGACACTTGGGATTTGGTTCCTCTACCTCCTAGTAAGAGTGTTGTTGGTTGTCGTTGGGTGTATAAGATCAAGACTAATTCTGATGGATCTATTGAGCGATACAAAGCTACGTTGGTTGCAAAAGGGTACTCTCAATAGTATGGTATGGATTATGAGGAGATATTTGCTCCTGTTGCAAAAATGACTACTATTTGTACTCTTGTTACAGTAGCTTCGGTTCGTCAATGGCATATCTCTCAACTTGATGTTAAAAATGTCTTCTTGAATGGAGATCTTCAAGAAGAAGTTTATATGGCGCCCCCTCCTAGTGTTTCACATGATTCTAGGTATGTTTGCAAGCTCAAGAAAGCGTTATATGGTCTTAAACAAGCACCTCGTGCTTGGTTTGAGAAATTTTCTGTTGTGATCTCTTCCCTTGGATTTGCTTCTAGTAGTTATGATTCTGCTCTTTTTATTAAGTGCACTGATGCAGGTCGTGTCATTCTGTCTTTATACGTTGATGACATGATTATTACTGGTGATGATATTGATGGTATTTCAGTTTTGAGGACAAAGTTAGCTAGACAGTTTGAAATGAAGGATTTGGGTTCTCTATGATATTTCTTGGGTATTGAGGTAGCCTACTCACCTAGAGGTTATCTTCTTTCTTAGTCAAAATATGTTGCAGATATTCTTGAGTGGGCTAGACTTACTGATAATAAGACTATAGATACTCCGATTGAGGTTAACACAAAGTATTCTTCTTCTGATGGTTTACCTTTGTCAAATCCTACTTTATACCATACTATTGTTAGGAGCTTGGTATATCTCACTATTACTCGTCCAGATATTGCATATGTTGTTCATGTTGTTAGTCAGTTTATTGTTTCTCCTACTACAGTTCATTGGGCAGCTATTCTTCGTATTTTGTGGTATCTTCGGGGTACAGTCTTTCAGAGTCTTTTACTTCCATCCATCTCTTCCTTGGAGCTGCGTGCATACTCTAATGCTGATCATGGCAGTGATCCCACAGATCGCAAGTCTGTTACTGGTTTCTGTATCTTGTTGGGTGATTCTCTTATTTCTTGGAAGAGCAAGAAACAATCTATTGTTTCTCAATCTTCAATCGAAGTAGAATATCGTGCTATGGCATCTACTACCGAAGAGATTGTTTGGTTACGTTGGTTACTTGCAGATATGGGAGTCTCTCTTTCTCATCCCACTCCTATGTATTGTGACAACCAGAGTTCTATTCAGATTGCTCACAACTCGGTTTTTCATGAACGAACTAAGCACATTGAGATCGATTGTCACCTTACTCGTCATCATCTCAAGCATGACACCATTACCCTGCCCTTTGTTTCTTCTTCTTTGCAGATTGCAGATCTCTTTACCAAGTCGCATTCTATTTCCCGTTTTCGTTTTCTAATTGGCAAACTCTCGATACTTGTAGCCGCTGCATCGTGAGTTTGAGGGGAGATGTTAAGAAATACAAGGTTATTTTGTTTTATTGTTTATTAATGGTAGAATAGTCTTTTCATTATTTTTTTTTTTTTTTTTCAGTTTCCTTTGTTTAGCCTATATATAGCCTCTTTGTATTTAAGTTAAATTATTCTTTTGTATTCGATTGAACTTTGTTTAGCCTATATATAGCCTCTTTGTATTTAAGTTAAATTATTCTTTTGTATTCGATTGAACTTTGTTTAGCCTATATATAGCCTCTTTGTATTTAAGTTAAATTATTCTTTTGTATTCGATTGAACTTTGTTTAGCCTATATATAGCCTCTTTGTATTTAAGTTAAATTATTCTTTTGTATTCGATTGAACTTTGTTTAGCCTATATATAGCCTCTTTGTATTTAAGTTAAATTATTCTTTTGTATTCGATTGAACTTTGTTTAGCCTATATATAGCCTCTTTGTATTTAAGTTAAATTATTCTTTTGTATTCGATTGAACTTTGTTTAGCCTANCGATGATAAGTCTGTGTCATTCAATTATCGTCCCATAAAAAATTTCCAACATTACATACGTTTAACTACTACTTTGATGATTAACAAAAAATACAAAAGTGGAACAGCTCAACCCAGAAACAGAAAACAAAAAAATTTCTTTGCATTGACAAGGAAAAGCAAAGATCATATCTAGGTTCATAAAAACAAAACATGAAGTGCTCCAATATATACAGCATCAAACACAGCGTTCATTGAAGTATGCATTACATAGAAAAGTAAGGTGCTTCAGCTTCCAAAAAGTATAGTGAGAATTCCCAGAGACTTGCGACGAGGAATGAACAAAAAGAAAACAAAATAATACAGCAACCGCAAACAAACAAACATGTATAGAGGACCAATCTTGACTTGTCAAAATGATTGTACTAGTATCTCTTTTTTTCTCTTTCGTATATCTTCTAGAACGCAGTAAGTTTTCATCTTGTGAGGTTTGAAGAAAACAGGCTTAGATGGGCTTGTTTCTCTGTCTTCCACTACTTTCTTGTAACCATGGTGCTGCAAATGAGGATAAAACAAGCATAATCAGAATGCATTAAAATAGAACATATCGGATGGTGAATCAATAATCATTTCGTTTAGTGCAGATCTGCATACCAAGTCCTGTAGCTTCAGATGTCCTCATGATTCTAAGCCTCTTCACAGAGCCAAGGAACATCCTGAATAGAAATCAAATGATTAAATTAATTTCGATGCCAACTTAATGAGATGACAGATAACAAACTTCAAACAGCTGAGCATTGCTTCACGACAGGGTATTTACAGAACTCATCAAATTCAACAAATGGAGCATCTTTTCTAATTTCTTACTATTCTTCGACAGCATTACTGATTGTGTGAAAATAAGATGTGCCAGACAAAACATACAACAACAAATAGAGTGCCTCATAGCAGCTCTACCTAAGAATTGTCATCCTAACTGAGAATCCCGAAGTAACAGCAAAAAGATCTTTGCATGAAATATTTCAATTTGATACATGCTAGGAAGAAGTTAGGCCATATAACTTCAGGATTTCCATTTCATATCTTTCTCCTCCAACATAAAACAAATCACTAAGTTTTCATGGAATTGTAAATTTTTGACAAAGAGCCCTTGAAAGAGAGCAAATAATTGAAATACGTAACCAATTAGTCGGGAAGATTTATGTTTGTGAATTTCTTAGTGGTTGGGCATTACAAGAATGAGTATCAATATTCTACAGCTAAAATCCAATGTTAATCAATTCTATTTGAAAATCCTTATCACAGTTTCCCTTTTTGAGGAACACAAACAACACCTTAAGAGGTGTGAATTTGTAGAAATCCTACAACAAATGCAACCTAAGGAAATCTACAAGAGAAATCAGAACGATCAAATAATCAAAATGGTCATTGATTGTTTGTCCTTCACTCATCTTTTCCTGATTAGTAATAGTAAAGCTTGTTAGAGAGCGTGAGAGAGATGAGCAAATGATTTCTTATACTCCGAGGAACTCTGTCATATTATACACATAAGATAATCACAAGCAACTAATTATTCTAATAGTGTTAACTACTACATTCCTCCTATTATGATGATGTAAACTCCAAGTTTGAACTTTCAGGCCTATGCAATAGATAAAAGATATATGTATTGAGCATGTATAGACATAAATAGGATTAATATCTAAGCACTTTTGTGCCAGGGAGTACATACCCCCAAGGAACATCTCCAACAAGCATCCAATCTCCCTCTTTGTCCTCATAAGTGAGCACAAAGTCAGACGTTCCATCCAGCAATTTTGAACGTCTTGTTGCTTCAACTCTTGTGTCATGTTCCTGTATGCTTGATCCTAATAACACAATGATGCCACAATCAATAAAACAGTATGTTTACTTTAATTATTATCCAGTAAATGAAATTTGATTAGCAATTGTCTAAACTCAGCTTTTTGTAAGATTTTCAATATGCTGGCCTAAATTTGAAGGAAAGCAGAATCAAGGAATTTGAACCAAATTTGATAGGAGATAAACAGCCACTTAAAAACTTTTCCCAATACAGAATTCAGGAAAAGAGATCCACTACATTTCTTATTAATGTTTTTACAACATTAATCCAAACATAAAGATAGGAAACGTTTAAACTTAATGATCAGAAGAGAATAAATGGAAAATAATATACTGAAAATCATTTTAGCTACATAGCAAAAGCACAAATTAAAGAACAGTTCAGAACCAAATAAAAGAAGATATGAAAAACTCACGCATCCCAGTGATAGTTGTAGTTGGCCTGTGGAACATATCCTCCAGAGTCTGTGCTAAGGTCTCATAGCAGCTATGAGTACCCAGATCAACCTTCCTTCCAATTGGAATTCCATCCATATTCACCTTCACAAACAGGGAAGTCCTAGTTTTAGAAGTACCATTATTCTTGTTGCTGCCATTGGTAGTCTTCTCTACCACACCATTCTTTCTTTTGTGTTTCTCAATCATTGAGTTGTACTCTTCAGTGGCTACTGATTTTGCTTGATTGGCCATGCTGTTCCTTCTGTATGCTCTAATAGGAGGCCATCCCACGACTTGACTGTTTCAAGATTTAAATTAAACAAGAAATCCAATACCATCAGTTTCAGAAAAATTTCTAAAACCAAAACTTACAAAAGCTTAAATTCATTCAGAACTTCACAGTATGTTAACACACATAAACTCTGATGATATTAAGCAAACAACCCCATAAAACTTAATTGAGAAGAATAATTTTTCACTTGACATGCTTGCCTCAATCTCCAAGGAATTTCAAGATTACTAATTTTTCTTTATCATCTCAATTGAGTTGGGTTTATGAAAGTTTATTGTATTCCTGGGGATTGGGTTGTACAATAAAGGGGATTTTTTTTGGAACATAGCCGTGTTTTTGGATGTTTTTGATCGATTTTGTATAGTGCTTACTTCCCCCTCATAGCTTTAATATATTTTCTCAGTTTCGAATAAAAACAGACATGCTTGCTAGTCTGACCCTACAATCCTAAACTTTAAACTGAAATATTTTAAAAGAATCAAGATCAATTCTCAAACTTGGGACATAAAAATTTTATTACTCAGATAAGGATTTGAACAACTATGCTTGTTACTGATTCTAAAATTAAAGTAACACTAAGCAAGATCCCATGAAGAAGATCTAGATTATTAGTCCAGATTTGTGAGGTAAACCTAGCTGTAGGTCCCATATCTATCCAAATGTGCACCTATAGAAACACAGTTAGAGCGAAACAAACACACTCATTAGAAACAAGGAACATGATCAGACAGAGTCAATCCTTCACAATACAGGATCCCCAAAATGCCCCACGAAGCATAATTTCTGAATTTAGGGTTCGCAAGTAAAGTAAATGCAAATAACCATACTATACATTTCAAAAAAATATTAGCAACAAATCGCTATCAACATTATGCCAAAAAAAAAAAAAACACCCTCCATCATCATAACAAAGCATCTACATCATTCTGATCATAAATTCCTATAACCAAATTATCAACAGATATAATAATAGAAATTTAGCCCTACAGCGCCCTATCTATTAGCAAACCACAAGGCAACAGACATAAAAAATTAAGAAGAGAGAATTACGAGGGAATAGAGAAATTTAAAAAGAAAAGTAAGAGTTACCGGGCAGCATTAGCCCACGATCGGCACTTCTCTTGGAACCACGGAGCATGATTAGGTCTGCTCAAAGAAGAAGAGAAGAAGACAAAGAAGAAGAAGGGAAATCTTTAGCCGTGAAAATCCTAGCATATTGAGCACCAGAAGCGGGTTGTTGTTGGAGCTTAAACCCACAGTTACCACCAAGACTCAACCCAAGACCCAACTCGAGGTCGGACTCACCGGGCTGGAAGAATCCTCAGAAGATAACAAGATTATCATCTCTTGAAACCGTCGAAACAGATCCACTGGCGACATTTTCTATAGTTCAAAAAGAAAAGGAAGAAGAAGATATGTGTTTCATAAAAAAAGAAGAGAAAGAGAAGGTTTAGATTCTAAAGAAGAGAAGAAGAAATTAGGGCTGTTCGTTTGGTGAGTTTGGGAAATAGTGTAGTAAACATAGAAAAGGTAGGTTTGGTGTGGTGGTGGTGTGGTGGTGGTGGTGATTGCTATATGCCCCACCTGTCGGCTTTATGCGCTTCCACTATTATTTTAATTTTTCTTCTAGCCGCTGTTATTATCTGAATCTTCACTAATTTTACCTTCTTTCTATTCTTTATTTGTTTCTCATTCCCAGATCTGTAATGTCAACAGGGAGCATGAATCTAAATGTAATAAATAAGTCATATTATTGCGGTTGTGATTATAATATGTAAGTTGGTATTAATTAAGTCCAAGAACACAAATACAAAGGACGAACCCCCTTGATTAGATAAAGAAAATATTGATAATTTTATCCACCCAACCCATATCTTGATATCAACACAAGATCAAACAAATAGATATATAAACACGTTTATACAATATAATCATAAATTGGAAATAATAACCCTAAAAGTCAATAAAAAGGAAAAACACGAAATTCCGCTATCCTAATTCCTAAACAGACAGCCAACCACCTAAATGCTCCCAACGACAACCGACAGGGGGGACAACCCATCTCAGGGGTTAACAGCATGACCCGCGTGTTCATACACCATACCTGTGGGACCACTTCATTTAACAAACTACTCCAACGTAGACACCTCAACCACAGTCTATCACTTACGGTTAATTTATCAGATCTGTTTTGATTCCGGGAATTAATTCATAAAACGCGTTTCAAGTCCGGATATATTTATATTTCCACGTGGCAGTCGTTGATATCGACGGTGCCATGGAGCCGGGGAACAGAGTCCACGGTTGCCTCATTTTTTTATAATTGTAAGGAAGGTAGTTGGGTCCACCTAAAAAGCATGAATATGTACCCGTCACAAGTGTATACATTTATACAATACAACGGCATCATTATATATTCCCCGCCTACCCTCCCTGTACACCTGACACGTACCCCTTCATTTTTATTTCCCCATTTCATCTCTCGCCTGTAATTTAATAACACGGAAGTCGAGTATTAAATCTCATCACACTTTTTGACAAAATATTCATATCTCTTACTTCAAAAAATTTCAGGATAAGATAATTAAATAAAAAAAACACTTAAATTTACGTAATTGCTGAATTGTGGAGTCCATGGGCCATTACCCAACTAAATAAGTATGGACCTTCACATATCTCATTCATGTCCACACTTCAGAAATTGGTGCTGTATCCATCCTAAATCCACTGTTATTCCAAGCTATCAATACAATAGCTGTTATATAACATACCATTTTCTTATTATATAAAAAAAAAAAAAAAATTGTGCAAAATTTTTTGTGATGACCACATGAATTTCAGAAGAGCAAGAGATAAGGAAAACCTAAAAACGCATCCAATTTAGAGTTTACTTTTTCATTGTTTTCTGCTGAGGTTGCAGGGTGCAGGACTTACAAGCTGAGGGTGAGAAATTGTCCGAGACCTGATTCGCATTGTTTGTTGTTTCCCTTCGTTTTCAGGAAGGTGGAGAGAGCATCCATGATTAGAATTTCCCAGTTTTGTGCCGTAAAGAAGAAAACCAGCTATCTGTGAAAAATATCAGGAAAAACAAGGATATAAGATAGCATGTGGCACAAGATTTCCAAAAATTGCAAAAAAAAATTAAATAGTGATGACAAATTACAACTATATCTCACCTATTCACTGAACTCAATCCAACATTAGATAAAGAAAATACATGTAATATGAGAGTAGTCTTCCCTTCAAAAAACACATGATATTCCCCCTTTTTCTTAAAAAATGTAAAAGCATTAGCAACCACAGTTTCAGGAAAATGTCTCAGATATGGAAGCTAACTAGTAATCAATTTCGAGCATGATGAAATACTATCAAACATAAAGAGCACAGAAACAGGACACTTAAATACAGCAGACCTCCATTACGGACTGCCTTCAACTGGAAGACTCCATTGCCTTGGGGACCTGAGACAGGAAACGTGCAAGAAACAGAATGTCTCTTGTGAGTTACTGCAAGAGATGCATGTACCATGGGCCCTTCTTTATGGGTCTCCAATAGCATTAATGATTGCCTGATTCTTAATAGCTTTCTCCATTGCCTTGCTGAAAATTTTCAGGCAAATGATAATATAATGGCACTTTCCAATTGTCGGTTAAATAATTTTATAAACATTTATAATCTTAAGTAACTTTTGGCTTTTGAATAGAGTAAAGTTTTTGTTAAAGAATAGAAAGTGAAGAATCACAGAAGCCCTAGTATTTTCAAAGCAAACAAACGACAGGCCATCATAAACCCAACCAAAAGCCACAAAAGCCTCAAATCTGCTTCCCCATGTGTTCATAAATTGATATAACAGGGATAGTGCAAAGACATCAGGAAAGAAGAATACTCAATCCCTTGCTAGCTAGACTGGGTGCATATAAAATATTTATGACTACTCAGAGAAGTTTCTATTGAACAGCACTAAGAACACTTTCTACTTCGATACTTCACTATCCCTCCTTCCCTACTAGAAACCTGGACTCTTTCTCCCTCTCCAACACAGGTACACAACTACTGAAGTGAAATTATAACTAGCTTTAGAAATTGGCGATTCTTTCAAAACTAGCCCATTTGACTGGTTCTAGTTCAGCAGAGGGGTTAGGGTTAATATGAGATTTCTGTTGAAAAAGGAACTTGGCTGGTGCCTATGCTAGTGGTTCCTTTTCAGGTAAAATCAGCTCTCCAGTTCAATTAGAACTTGGGTAGGCATGAATCTAGGTATCTGATAAAATAATTCCCTTGTTTCAATGTTGAATTTTAATCTTTTAAAGCAAGAACAAATTATTTGTGCAAGAGGCATCCGCATATATCTACATTCTAACAATAACATCATGCACAAGAAGCTTACAAAGAAATACTTTCTTTTTTTTGTTTGTGTTTCTGTTGAATAATGAAAGTAGGAGTGTTAAACACAATCCTATCTCCCATCAATCCTAATGTCCTTCAGATATTAACTTTGTATGATTCAACAAGGAGCATATACACCACAGGTATTCTTTGTATTTTTGATGCCACAACATATTGTAGCCACTCAGCGATCATGGAACCTATAATTTGGATAACAAACACAAGCAATCATAATGTTTCACTAATACGGAAATCAAGCTCCTCTTATACTGACATATTATGGCTTGCTTGCAACCTATGTGCCATGAGGATTTCTTAAAAGACCACATCATCCTCATGGTTCACCATTTATGATAAAGTTCCTACACTATCCCTAAACAACTCATTGGTGGGTGGGTTTTCAAAGGAAAATGATCTACAGAGTTTGTAGGTTTCATTTAAGCAAGGAAGTAAAATTTACTAAATATACAAAAAAAAAAAAATTAAAATATCTGACTTGGGCACTAACTCTCTTTTTCGAAAGTTCAATAAATTATAACTTCTAATCAGATAGCCTTATACAAAATCCAATGGCCATATGCCAAGTGACTATCTTTTGAATGAAGGGCTTAATAAGATAAAAATTCGAGAACACAATATGCAAATTACTGAATATACATAAGCAGCCTTACCAAAATTCTTGATTGATAAAACAAAAACTAAAAGTTTCGATATCTCAATGGCGATCCTGACAAAATAAATAAATGACTTAACAAGTATACCTGCTACAGCTATGATAAATAGCAAGGTCGTCAAGAGCACTCAAAGCCACACCGCCGGTAACTGTAATCAAGACAAAAGACACGGCTTTACGACCAAATGACTTGCTTTTTTCCTCGTCCAAAGGCTTTGCAGAGCTGCAAGAATCGATTTTACCAGTCAAACACCATAAAAATTTAGCTTTTCACATAAAATAAACTAAATGCTTTAACATAAGAATAACATTTGAATTAACAATCGAATCTTAATATATCAAATAATGGGCATGATAAAAAAAAAAAAAAACTAAATTAAATACCCATTGTTGCAAAGTAAAATGAAGGACCCAGATAAAGATAAAAAATAGAATTAATAATCCGATCCTCACGAAGTTAAAATAAAAAATTTAAGAGAAAAAGAAGAAATTCTACCTAGAAGCCTTTGAAGATGGGGAGCTCTTAAATAAAGAACTCAACCTTCTCGCCAACATATCTCTCTGACTTTGATCTGTTCTCCTCTTTCTCAAATGTATCGTTTCTAGTAGGTGATTATTTGTACCACCGCCCCACCGGCTACACCGTTTAAGTTGTTTGGGGAGTCAAAATACTTGACAGAGTTAATTTGACTCGAAAATATTTTTGGTTAGAACTGGGTAGAGACTTACTATGTGCAGTGCAGCCCATATATCACGGCCCAATGGACCCATAAAAGAGCTTTGTTCAAAATATATTTCATTATCATATTTAATTCATCAACTTTAGTTTGAGCTGTACAAATACACTGATTTAGTGATTTTCATCTTTTAAACCGATAGGAACAGGATTCTGGATGTATATGCAATTACACCTCTTTTTGGAGACCCATGTAATTCTCTAAACTAATCTTTTATTTGTCATCAGTTTTAGTTTAATGCTAAAACCCAGATTCTCGGCCAAGCCACTAGAGGCTTACGTGGTCGTTGGCCGTTAACTTTAGGACTTCGGAAAAATAGTTGAAGTGCATACAAACTGGTTTGCACACCAAAAAACAAAAAAACCAAAGAATTGCATAACAAAATTCATTTTCTTCTTCTCTCTGCCTTCTTAGCTATCTTACAACTCTTGTAATATCTCGTTAAGATATTTTTCTGTCAATACAAAAATTGTATAATCTAACCAGTTTGCAATGTAACATCATTTCCAGTGATTATGATTCATATTCCACGCAACACTTCATCATACTGATAACAGCTTTTGCTTCAAATGCAACTCTATCCTACCCATCTTGAATATCTCTATAAGATTATGACTTATCATACAAAAATTACAGGCTTGACTTTCATATTCAACCTAGCCTCTTTCGTCGCCCACCCAGTTGTTCTTCTCCTTGGGGCCAGTAGGACCTTCCTCCCCATACAGCTCTACTGGGAGCTTATGGAAGATGCTTTCAACTGGATACCGAAGTCTCACAGGCAAAACATTCATTATCTTATCTAGCTCGGTTCTGGAATCGTAAACAATCTTTGGACCCCATTCTCTCATAAACTGCAGCCAACCAGGCTCAGTAACAACCCCATCTCCAAGATACTCCGCAGCAACAAGTTCATAATGGATGCTTGAATCAACAAAGAAATTACTACGAGCAGCATCGTTTCTCACTCCGATTCCTAGTTTTGCAGACCCTTGAATGTAGGTGCCAGGATGAGGAAAGCTAGCATGTCCACTATTTGAGGAGTAAACAATGGCTTTATTCCCCTCTATGTATTCCAAATCATAAGCATTCACCCATTCACCACCACTGTGCTGCGAGAAGTATATACACCACAGCTCTCCAGTGAAGTTGCTTATACGGAGAGTGAAATGTTCCCAGTCACCCACATGCTGACCAATCTTGCTAAGAGCAATGTTCATGATTCCAACTTTGAGAGTGCCAGGCCCATTGAAGGGGCAAAAAACCCACATGGCAATATCGGTGAATGTTCCACCAAGAGCAGGCTTCACATGAACATAAAGCTTTGCAGTTTCCAAATTTCCGTATTTGACACTGTGTCTCCTGTCATCACTCGGCAAGTCTATCCAGAATTGCTTATCATTTGCTCCACCACCAGGCAAATTTGAGCCACTAGGATCAATGACCTCACCAACCAAATCCCCAGCTTTGTACAACTCTGCTCCATTGTTGAAAAACCATGAAACAGAAGATGGTAAATAGATTTCTTCAGGATGAAAGAAAAGAGTTGGTCCATAATGACTGATGAGTGCATGAATCTGATCACAATTCGGCATTGCATGTAGCGTAGGATCTAAATTCTTCAGGCATGCAATATTCAACTCTTCTCCGGAGATCAAGGAACTACTGCAAAAAAAAGTCCCCACGGAAACACCTTTACCCAGCATTCCTCGGTGACGAGGTCTCGTGCTCCAAACCCGAAACTGAGAATTTGAGAATTTAAGACTGGTATCAAGTTTAAGGTGATAAGCTTCACATTTATCTGTCAGGTCAGCCCGAACGCATCTAACTTCATCAAAGTCAGGTTTGTTTGGAATGTTGGTAACCAAAAATCCCATGGATTTATAGCCCTCAGGAGGCTGTGGAAACCAGAAGAAGCCGCAACCTTCATAGTTCTCCTCGCCCTCATCAGCTGGATTCCAAACTAATGTATAATCAACAGGTTTCTGAAGAGCTGGTGAGTAAGCATAATTAGAAATATGAGCAGCTTCTGGTACAGAAGAAGCCACCTCCCTAGCCACAAGAACAAATCCTCTTAAAGGCTGACTAGCGAATTGGCAATAGTGACCAAGGCAATAAAACCCATCAGGAATTCCCACTGGCTTAAAAAATGTAACCTGTTTTCGCTTGTCCTGCAAAAGATCACAGCTCCAAATGAGCTCAAACCTGGAAATTTGAACAACTTCTATTTCTCCAAGATTTATTCTTCCGGAGGCAAATCCTTGACCTGAGAAAGTAAGCAAACAATTGAATGTTTAGTATGATAACAGGAAGGCAGAACTCAATGAGATGACTTCAACTTGTGAAGAAAAGAATTGCTTTAAATCATTCAGTTGAGCTTACTTTAAAATTTACAGCATTTAAAAAATCTAATAGGTGATGTTGGGGGAGGAAGCAGGTCCATTCACCAATCAAGTTCAATCAGAAATATTCTACCTTGAAAAGACTACAAAATTTGGCAGCAGATTGCAGTATAGCCTCCATATTATATAAACTTGTCTAGGACACACTTCTCTAAATGCGTTGACTAAGAAAACATAAAAACACAAAAGCTGATAAAAGAAAATAATTTCATGCTGAACAACCATAAACCACTACAACAGAAACATTCAGATTATCAATTTCAAATCTCAATAAGCTCATTCCTAACTGCACAACTATCAGCTTTTAAAAACATTTTCTTTTTCCAGTATGTTTGTTTGCATGAATTGGCTAGTTCATTGCCTACAAGCCAAATGACAAATGAACGTGCAGAGATTGACCAAAACAAACATAATTGGCAATCGAGCGAAATCATCTCAAGCTTTAACCTTTATGAACTTGAAAACTGCCCAGAAAAATAAATTTACATAAAAAAAGCATATCAAATGCATGTAGATTACGAAGAACATCAATCAATTTGAGTAAATAAAAGTAATGAACACTGACAAAAATCAACATTAACCCATGATCCGCGGTAATCGAACCCATCAACCAAAAAAAGAACTCAACAAAAATAAATTAGCCCCACAAATCACAATTGAATTAGCAAAAAAGATCAAAACTTTAGAATCCAAATGTGATACCTTGAGGCCAATTGGGAAGTGGAGAAGGCAAGGAGAAGGTTTCAGGTTGTGGAGGGGATAAATCGGGGAGTGTCTTCCAATAAAAGCATTGGCAACCAAACATGTTCTTGCCTGAAAACGTTCCAACTCTCTAAGATGATCTCAAATTTTCGATTTTGTTATCATGTTGCCTGTTACACTTTTCTAGCTGGGAATCTTATTCCACACTTCCGTAGATGAAATCTCACATTTTGTGGGACCATCTTCCAAATGTTTTCACTTTTTTTCTTGCTTTTTCAAGACAATTATTCTTAAGGGTTCTTTATTTAATAATAAATAAATAATAAATCTTTCTTTTCATATGAAATGTGATTTTTTCACTACTTCTTTATCTAATACTTTTAATCAATATAATCTTTGACAGATAATTCACTTCACCGTGTTATTGGATTCCCTTCAGGTTTGGGACAATAGCTCTTTGGTCCACAGATTCTGAAAAGTGATTCATCCAGATGTTTCCAAATAGTGACACGTTCATACAAGGCTTACTCTTTTGAAGAACCACATCACTGGCCCAATCCCTCCCAATCAGTCTTCGCTTCCCGTTTTAGTTAACCAAATAAATCCAAGGCCATCGTTATTTTAAATAAAAGAACGAACTTTTTTACTGGCGATTGGGCTAAAGAAGACATTGGGTACTCTATACTCATAGCATGCAGAAAAGGTATTTTGGATCCTTCAGGAAGAAAATGACCCCATGTTTCACGGAAGAACTCTTTATAAAAATTCCCACACGGTTGAAGTCTTACCTTTGGGGCATAATCTAATCCATTTCTACTTCATTTTTATTTGGGAAAATTGGATCTTCCTAATCATATAAATTCATTCATTCATTCATTATTTTGTGAAGAATGTATGTGCACCTCGGCCGTTAAACCCACCTCCAGAAGTAGACAATATTGCTGAAACGTATATGATGATTGATATACATGTTGTTTGCTCTGATGATTGTGGAGTCGGTGGATGACCAATTTGAAAACAGAAGATTTTTGCTACGTGTAGGGTTTGAAGAAGAAGTAAGACCTGTAAAAGAAAACGTGTCCAAAGAATAAATCCATTTCATTGAACGTTTACTAATCTCCCAGTCTGCCTGACAACTCCAACAACAGCCAACACAAAATGCTATTTCTCAGTACAAAGTAGCTAGAAGTAGCTTGTTGTGTTGTATTTGTATTTGTATATGCTTTTACACATTTGTTTAACATGGACTTTCAAAGTGGGGTTTCCTTCATGGGGCCTTTTACAGCTAATACTAGACAACAAAGTTGATATTTTTTTCCCCCCCATTACATCAAACCTCTTTCCACCACATGTTTTTGGAAAGCAAAGACGAATCTTTTTTCATCACTTGAAAGAACCTCCTCATTCTTTCATATTAAAAAAGACGATTCTCCAGATTTATAACTTCACTGGGCAAAAAGCTCTCTCTTTAATTATTGGCATAAGAGGTGACTCTTTGATTTGCATCTCAGAAAGGGTAAGCTCTCTTTCTCGTTTGTGTATGCTCGTGTTTTCTACAACTTTTAGCAGTTGAGTTTTGCTGTCGAATGTGAGTCTTGAGGAATATGTCATCTTTATTGAGACCTTTTTCCTTTCATGTCTATCCCTTCTGTGTTGGGAAAACCTTGCATCTATTTTAATGTGCATTCCATTATTTGGCAATGGCTTTAATTAGAGAGTAAAAGTTAAATGTAGTCGATGTTGGCTGGCTGGTTAATCTTGGAGGATTATCTCTACCCTTCTGTTTTACCTGGCGTTGGCGGTACATGGACGAATTAATCTTATGCATAATTAGAATTAGGACTCTAATGATAGGCTATTTGTATTCAACAAATTAGCTTTATGTAACAATAAGACGAATTTTGACTAGTTAAAAATATCCTAAATAGTACTTAAAAACAAACAACACATTTCTGTTGCTCACCAACTGTATTAATTTTTTATTTTCTTTTCACAGATTTTGACAACCAGAAACAAATAGTCATTACAAAAGCCATAATCAAAGAAACAAAGATGTTGCTAAGGAGCTCATCAACACCAGTACTTGGCTCTCTCATTTCTTCATTTTCAGAGACTCCTACCAAAACCGTCAATAACAACGTCAACAATCACCATGAATCCAAGAAACAGTGCCACCTCCCACCCGTTATTCCCCATACCAACCACCATAACCACGACAACAAATTACTCCCACATGGGACTCGTAATCTGCCTTCTGTCTCTTGCAATTCTTCTCCTATATCTCCCGCAGTTACTGACCATTTATCTGATTCCCATAAGGGATTTCGTCGAGTTCGGTCTGATGGAAACTTGGAAGGGCTAGCCTATGCTTGTTGCACCGATGAAGAACTCAATAATACAAACCAAAACCAACAACCCCAGATGTTTTCAGGGAGAAGCAAGTGCTTGATGTTGGAAACAATACCTTCTTTTTCATACTCTACTATGAGAGGCAGGCGTGAAGATGAAGAAGATGAAAGTGATATAGAATATGAGGAGGAGGCAGAGGAAGAGGAAGAGGACGAAGAGTTTTTTGAGAGAAATATTGGAAAGGATAGAAAGAGGGTCATGGCTATGGGAGGAAGTGAGTTTAGTTTCGAGAATGAGATGGGGAGTATGGTTCTTAGTGAGGAGGCCAAAGCTATGGATAAATTGTGGAATACGAGTTTTGCAAGGGAAAACGAGGTTATTGGTCAACAAATGTATCTTGCCATGGGACTTGGCATTGGTGGGGGAGGTGGTGGAGTCGGCGGCGGCGGCGGCGGTGACTTTTATGCAGGGTCCGGCGGGGAAGGTGGGGATAATGGCAGGGTTGAGGAACATTATAGGAGGATGGTAGAGGAAAATCCAGGAAACCCTTTATTCTTGAGAAATTACGCTCAATTTCTGTATCAGGTGAGTCCCATTCCCTCCATTAAACAATGAATTGGTTGTGTTTGTAGACTTATGCGTGATTTTTGACAGAGTAAGAAAGACCTTGGGATGGCAGAGGAGTACTACTCTCGTGCAATTCTAGCAGATCCTGGGGACGGTGATATTCTGTCACAATATGCTAAGTTGGTGTGGGAGCATCATGGTGATGAGAATAGAGCTTCTAGCTATTTTGAAAGAGCAATCCAAGCTTCTCCTCATGATAGGTATATGTTTAGCGTTTTAGCATAATGGTTATTCATTCCAGTTTCTTTTAGCTTTAATTAATTTACTGATGGAAGACTCAAATTTCTTGTATTTTAGCAATGTGCAAGCGTCGTATGCTAATTTTCTATGGGAAACAGAAGAAGATGACGATGGATGTAACGTACTAAAAGATCTGGATACCGTGGGTAAGCGACTTCACGGAGGAGCTTTAGCTTCTGCAAATGTTTAACTGGATCTATAGAATTTACTTATTTATTTATTTATAATGAAATAGAGCCTAGAGGGAGAGGGAAATCTTGCTGTAAGGTTCAGCGGTCAATCTATTTATTTAATGTCATAAATCAACCAAAATAAACTATTGGTTACCTGTATATATAGTTATTTTACCAGATGGGTGTTGTTGATTAATCAAATTGAATACACACCACTGTTTCGGAATTTGTTATCAAACAAAGCAAACAATTGAATGTTTAGTATGATAACAGGAAGGCAGAACTCAATGAGATGACTTCAACTTGTGAAGAAAAGAACTGCTTTAAATCATTCAGTTGAGCTTACTTTAAAATTTACAGCATTTAAAAAATCTAATAGGTGATGTTGGGGGAGGAAGCAGGTCCATTCACCAATCAAGTTCAATCAGAAATATTCTACCTTGAAAAGACTACAAAATTTGGCAGCAGATTGCAGTATAGCCTCCATATTATATAAACTTGTCTAGGACACACTTCTCTAAATGCGTTGACTAAGAAAACATAAAAACACAAAAGCTGATAAAAGAAAATAATTTCATGCTGAACAACCATAAACCACTACAACAGAAACATTCAGATTATCAATTTCAAATCTCAATAAGCTCATTCCTAACTGCACAACTATCAGCTTTTAAAAACATTTTCTTTTTCCAGTATGTTTGTTTGCATGAATTGGCTAGTTCATTGCCTACAAGCCAAATGACAAATGAACGTGCAGAGATTGACCAAAACAAACATAATTGGCAATCGAGCGAAATCATCTCAAGCTTTAACCTTTATGAACTTGAAAACTGCCCAGAAAAATAAATTTACATAAAAAAAGCATATCAAATGCATGTAGATTACGAAGAACATCAATCAATTTGAGTAAATAAAAGTAATGAACACTGACAAAAATCAACATTAACCCATGATCCGCGGTAATCGAACCCATCAACCAAAAAAAGAACTCAACAAAAATAAATTAGCCCCACAAATCACAATTGAATTAGCAAAAAAGATCAAAACTTTAGAATCCAAATGTGATACCTTGAGGCCAATTGGGAAGTGGAGAAGGCAAGGAGAAGGTTTCAGGTTGTGGAGGGGATAAATCGGGGAGTGTCTTCCAATAAAAGCATTGGCAACCAAACATGTTCTTGCCTGAAAACGTTCCAACTCTCTAAGATGATCTCAAATTTTCGATTTTGTTATCATGTTGCCTGTTACACTTTTCTAGCTGGGAATCTTATTCCACACTTCCGTAGATGAAATCTCACATTTTGTGGGACCATCTTCCAAATGTTTTCACTTTTTTTCTTGCTTTTTCAAGACAATTATTCTTAAGGGTTCTTTATTTAATAATAAATAAATAATAAATCTTTCTTTTCATATGAAATGTGATTTTTTCACTACTTCTTTATCTAATACTTTTAATCAATATAATCTTTGACAGATAATTCACTTCACCGTGTTATTGGATTCCCTTCAGGTTTGGGACAATAGCTCTTTGGTCCACAGATTCTGAAAAGTGATTCATCCAGATGTTTCCAAATAGTGACACGTTCATACAAGGCTTACTCTTTTGAAGAACCACATCACTGGCCCAATCCCTCCCAATCAGTCTTCGCTTCCCGTTTTAGTTAACCAAATAAATCCAAGGCCATCGTTATTTTAAATAAAAGAACGAACTTTTTTACTGGCGATTGGGCTAAAGAAGACATTGGGTACTCTATACTCATAGCATGCAGAAAAGGTATTTTGGATCCTTCAGGAAGAAAATGACCCCATGTTTCACGGAAGAACTCTTTATAAAAATTCCCACACGGTTGAAGTCTTACCTTTGGGGCATAATCTAATCCATTTCTACTTCATTTTTATTTGGGAAAATTGGATCTTCCTAATCATATAAATTCATTCATTCATTCATTATTTTGTGAAGAATGTATGTGCACCTCGGCCGTTAAACCCACCTCCAGAAGTAGACAATATTGCTGAAACGTATATGATGATTGATATACATGTTGTTTGCTCTGATGATTGTGGAGTCGGTGGATGACCAATTTGAAAACAGAAGATTTTTGCTACGTGTAGGGTTTGAAGAAGAAGTAAGACCTGTAAAAGAAAACGTGTCCAAAGAATAAATCCATTTCATTGAACGTTTACTAATCTCCCAGTCTGCCTGACAACTCCAACAACAGCCAACACAAAATGCTATTTCTCAGTACAAAGTAGCTAGAAGTAGCTTGTTGTGTTGTATTTGTATTTGTATATGCTTTTACACATTTGTTTAACATGGACTTTCAAAGTGGGGTTTCCTTCATGGGGCCTTTTACAGCTAATACTAGACAACAAAGTTGATATTTTTTTCCCCCCCATTACATCAAACCTCTTTCCACCACATGTTTTTGGAAAGCAAAGACGAATCTTTTTTCATCACTTGAAAGAACCTCCTCATTCTTTCATATTAAAAAAGACGATTCTCCAGATTTATAACTTCACTGGGCAAAAAGCTCTCTCTTTAATTATTGGCATAAGAGGTGACTCTTTGATTTGCATCTCAGAAAGGGTAAGCTCTCTTTCTCGTTTGTGTATGCTCGTGTTTTCTACAACTTTTAGCAGTAGAGTTTTGCTGTCGAATGTGAGTCTTGAGGAATATGTCATCTTTATTGAGACCTTTTTCCTTTCATGTCTGTCCCTTCTGTGTTGGGAAAACCTTGCATCTATTTTAATGTGCATTCCATTATTTGGCAATGGCTTTAATTAGAGAGTAAAAGTTAAATGTAGTTGATGTTGGCTGGCTGGTTAATCTTGGAGGATTATCTCTACCCTTCTGTTTTACCTGGCGTTGGCGGTACATGGACGAATTAATCTTATGCATAATTAGAATTAGGACTCTAATGATAGGCTATTTGTATTCAACAAATTAGCTTTATGTAACAATAAGACGAATTTTGACTAGTTAAAAATATCCTAAATAGTACTTAAAAACAAACAACACATTTCTGTTGCTCACCAACTGTATTAATTTTTTATTTTCTTTTCACAGATTTTGACAACCAGAAACAAATAGTCATTACAAAAGCCATAATCAAAGAAACAAAGATGTTGCTAAGGAGCTCATCAACACCAGTTCTTGGCTCTCTCATTTCTTCATTTTCAGAGACTCCTACCAAAACCGTCAATAACAACGTCAACAATCACCATGAATCCAAGAACCAGTGCCACCTCCCACCCGTTATTCCCCATACCAACCACCATAACCACGACAACAAATTACTCCCACATGGGACTCGTAATCTGCCTTCTGTCTCTTGCAACTCTTCTCCTATATCTCCCGCAGTTACTGATCATTTATCTGATTCCCATAAGGGATTTCGTCGAGTTCGGTCTGATGGAAACTTGGAAGGGCTAGCCTATGCTTGTTGCACCGATGAAGAACTCAATAATACAAACCAAAACCAACAACCCCAGATGTTTTCAGGGAGAAGCAAGTGCTTGATGTTGGAAACAATACCTTCTTTTTCATACTCTACTATGAGAGGCAGGCGTGAAGATGAAGAAGATGAAAGTGATATAGAATATGAGGAGGAGGCAGAGGAAGAGGAAGAGGACGAAGAGTTTTTTGAGAGAAATATTGGAAAGGATAGAAAGAGGGTCATGGCTATGGGAGGAAGTGAGTTTAGTTTCGAGAATGAGATGGGGAGTATGGCTCTTAGTGAGGAGGCCAAAGCTATGGATAAATTGTGGAATACGAGTTTTGCAGGGGAAAACGAGGTTATTGGTCAACAAATGTATCTTGCCATGGGAATTGGCATTGGTGGGGGAGGTGGTGGAGTCGGCGGCAGCGGCGGCGGTGACTTTTATGCAGGGTCCGGCGGGGAAGGTGGGGATAATGGCAGGGTTGAGGAACATTATAGGAGGATGGTAGAGGAAAATCCAGGAAACCCTTTATTCTTGAGAAATTACGCTCAATTTCTGTATCAGGTGAGTCCCATTCCCTCCATTAAACAATGAATTGGTTGTGTTTGTAGACTTATGCGTGATTTTTGACAGAGTAAGAAAGACCTTGGGATGGCAGAGGAGTACTACTCTCGTGCAATTCTAGCAGATCCTGGGGACGGTGATATTCTGTCACAATATGCTAAGTTGGTGTGGGAGCATCATGGTGATGAAGATAGAGCTTCTAGCTATTTTGAAAGAGCAATCCAAGCTTCTCCTCATGATAGGTATATGTTTAGCGTTTTAGCATAATGGATATTCATTCCAGTTTCTTTTAGCTTTAATTAATTTACTGATGGAAGACTCAAATTTCTTGTATTTTAGCAATGTGCAAGCGTCGTATGCTAATTTTCTATGGGAAACAGAAGAAGATGACGATGGATGTAACGTACTAAAAGATCTGGATACCGTGGGTAAGCGACTTCACGGAGGAGCTTTAGCTTCTGCAAATGTTTAACTGGATCTATAGAGTTTGCTTATTTATATAATGAAACGGAGTTGGAGCCTAGAGGGAGAGGGAAACCTTGCTGTCAGGTTCAGCGGTCAATCTATTTATTTAATGTCATAAATCAACCAAAATAAACTATTGGTTAACTGTATATATAGTTATTTTACCAGATGGGTATTGTTGATTAATCAAATTGCATACACACCACTGTTTCGGAATTTGTTATCAATAATATAATTTATTGGTTCACATTTATAAACCTTTTTTATGGAATAACCTATCTTTTAAGAGTTGGAACTTGGAAGACAAAATCACCCCATTTAACACCGGCTCAAGTTCAACTGATATTGATGGTAGGGCAATGAACTAGCATCACAAAAACGACACAGAATATGGACATGCAAGAAAAGCTGATATACCAAAATAGCCCATCACATTCCTCGCGAAACAAGACTCACAATGTCCCAAAATTATCCCACTTGAATATGCATGATAAAAACCATTCAAGGGGAGATTAAACATATTCTGTAACAACAGAAGAATAGAAACAGAGAAAAGAAAAGTCCCTCCACACTTGCATCACAAAATGGTACACCCCATAAAGTTACAAATATATTTCTCCTAAACCAAAGAAAACGGTAAACCACAATTCAGCAAACCTCAGCCACCCTCAGATCAAAAAATTTATGCGGAATACCTATAACGATTTTGCTACTCATATTTGGTCTCCTAGCATCCATGCTTTCTTTGTGAACCTCACTAATAGAAACCATTGCCTCTCAGTCTGTTGTAGTCGCCACCATCTTGGGTACTTCCCCTACCCAAACCACGACCACCAAAGCGCCCACCCCTAGTGGTCTCTGTTTGGTAACTGCTTCTGCCTCTTCCCCTTCCTGATCAATCACATTTGGATGGCAATTCAAAAAATAAATAAAAATTCTGGCCACTCTAGAGTATGAAAAGAGAAATAACAATGTACATACTTCCTCCTCGAGAAGTACTGCTGCTGTTTGGTCTTCGCTCCTCAATGTATATTTGCCTTCCTGCCAAGTGTATAGGAGATGCCTACAGAAAGCACACAAATAAGTCAGGCAAGTATAAACTGCAGAATCCACCAATAGAATATAGATTTCCAGCAGATTGTTATGAGTAATTTACTACACCAGATGACTTATATCAATTATTTGAGACTCCATGTGGCCTAGCACACATACAAATATCATGATATGCTCCTGTTTGCAGCATAAAGAAATGAAATTTCATAAAGACTAAAACAAACCTGGATTGCATTTTGAACACCAGAAATGTCTTCAAACTCCACAAAAGCATAGCAGACACCAACAACATCCTGTGTGGAATAACTGTTAAATTAGCTTCTTTGAATATGACATAAAGAGACAGAAATTTTGTGTGATGGAAAGGAACACACCTTGCGGTTTCTAACAAACACACCATCGGGCTTGATTCTGCCAAAGTTCTTAAACTCCTGCTCAATTTCACCAGCAGAAATAGTAGAAGGCAAGTTCCTCACATAGACAGATTTTACTTCACCTGAAAGGATGAATATTCTAGAATCAATAAAACTCTCCTAAGCAAAAACATCAAAACTCTAATCACATGAATTCAACAATTTAGAGCCTCTGTCTCAGGGAGACGGCAAATTTATAAAAACTAATTATTAGCAATAAGATTGTCTTTTAAATTTATCAGTCAGAGAAAACATATGAAACTATCATGTGCAATGACTTGCATCAAATAGTTGATGATCCATATCAACAAAATTTATCATATCAAGAACTGCATCTTTTGCGAAGAATATGTTACCTTCTTCTAGGGAAAAGCTTTCATCTGCTGTGTCAAATCCAGATTCAGGCACATTTGACAAAGCTCCAGATTCAGGCGCATAGGATGATGCATAATTTGACTGCTGGGATACAGGCTGTGGTGTGTGATCCCAGTCTGATGTAGTCGGGGCACTCTTGGTAAAGGATGGTTGAGTAGCAACTGATGATGCATACTGATTCCTAGCTACTCGCAACTACCATATTTTCACCATAAAAAACAAACGATCATAATTAGTACTACTAGTACCACCTAAAATAGTTTTCAGCAATTAATCAGAGCAAAAATTATGGATCCCACCTTCCCATGCTAATTATATTCATGTAAACTATTACAAGACTTGTATCTTCACTCACTTTCATGCATGAACCATGATCATGACCCCACTAAGAATAGTTAATCTATCTCTAGATATGGCTATACTTTCCCACTCACAACCCTCCCTCACGCGCATAAACTTGTTGTCATCATAATTTGATGGATACTTTTTCTCTCAAATAATGGATAAAAGTAGTTGACAATGTTTTGGTTTTGTTAGTACAAACTATTTGAAGATACATTTAGAGGTAAATGCCTAAATGCATGCATAGACACCTGAGAACTCATTTCTACACACAAAGAGGATGAAAGAAAGAGAGCAGAAACTGTGCATACTATGGAAGCGTAAGTTTTCTTTGCCATCTCGCCCACAGATTCATCAACAGCAGCAACAGGAGGCGCCTGCACATTATTCAAATCAGTTTGGTACAAAGCAGGAGCTTCTTCCACAGGAGTTTCCTCCACAACAATTTCAGCTTCAAGGTCTTCATGCTCCTGAGGCTCTGGGAGATTGTACTGGTCAACTGGCTCATCTTCTATATGAACTGAATTCACATATTCCCTAGCCTCTTCTTCCAAATCATAATTGGAAACTGTAAAACCCAATAAGTCAGAACAACCACAATAAAACTTGATTCTCTTAATTCTTAAAACATGATTTTGGGTAACTAGTTGTCAATAGAGGACAATTTGAAAAGTTATTCAAACAAAAGAAACAAAAGTTACACTGTATGATTGACAAAAATCTATCAGCTTAGTTAAAAAGTTAAAAGAAGTATCATAGATCCTTTAATATCAGACATAGAAACTATTTGATTCCAGTAACAGATTTCCATATTAGTACCTGGTTGTTCAGGAAGAGGGCTAGAAGCATCTACTTGAGCGTCAAATTTGCTTTCGGACAGTGCAGGAGCTGGATGCTGGTAAATTGTTTCCTCATCAATGAACTGAAAGATATCATTGAGAACAAAGTAACCTTTCTCCTGAGGAGCAAGGAAAAAGGTCTGCACAAATTTCCTTCTGCCACTGAAATCTTTAGTTTTGACAGAACCTGTAACCATTACCATAACTCCACCATTCCAAGAACCAAGAGAATTGATCGTCTTGATCTCAATCGCAGTGAAATTTAGTGACATCACAAGGGCATGAATTTGCTGCAGAAAATGATAAAAGGAAGACTTACTGATAAGAAAACTAACAGAAAAACCTATATACATTGCTCAAGGAACAATATAATTCAAGTAATAGAGAGAAAGAATCCAAACAATCTGGCAGGTTGAAATTTAATGCAACATGTAAAGATGACAGTGTAAGAAAAAGGAGAACAGCATTCACAAGTCTGAACTCACATTCCAAGAAAATTATATCAACTAGAATCATAAGTCTTTATTTTCACTGACTGATAAATTCCACAAGAGCAACAAGTAAAATATATATGATATATTCTCTATTGTATGCACAAAATTTGATGACTTGGAAAACTATACAATTTCATGTTTCTTTTTTCATATTTTCCCACCACTGCCAGAATCAGACACTAATTATATACCAAATGAGCATAAATTTGATAATAAAGGATGCAGGTCAAACAATTGAATAACAAGTTTTGACCATTCACAGAAATTAATATATAAAGTCACGGTGTGTAACACGTAACACCAACATTCCTATTTAAGAACCATGTAATAATCAAGAAGTAAACAACCAAAGCCACCAGCTATTTACCAAAGAAATACAAAGAAGAAATGGGAGCACATAAAGAACCATTCTTACATATTAAAATATAAACAAAAAAACATATAATAACAAATATTTACCAGCATTGCAGAAGCAGAGTCAGTAGAATCTCCGTCAATCCGAATCATGGTGCTGGTATCGGAATAGAACTGGTGAACCAGATCAGGCTGTTGCTGAAGTACCTGATAGTATTGCCCCACAAAGTAAGAGCCAACCTGTTTAACATTCCAAACAGCCATTAACAACAACACAAAAAAAAACAAAAACAAAAAAAAAACTTTTCGTATACATCTATGAAGAAAGAGAGGAGATGCAGTTGGTTATCGATTGAATGACCTGGATTGGTCCTGGTGAAGTAGCCATATTAGTTAGTTGAGAACAAAAGTAGCATGCAGTGAAAAGAATCCAAGAGGAATCCCTTTAAACCCTCTTGAGGTAATGATCGGTCACAGATCCACTGAGAGATTGAGTGCTCAAAAACCCTAATCTGAAAACTAGGGTTTATGAGTAAAAGTATATTAATGTTTCTGTTTCTTTAAAAAAAAAAAAAAAAAACTATTGAATGAAACAAAGCAGGTGAAGAAAGAGGAGTTGGAGATTTCAAAGAGAAATAAAGAAGGGAGTGAATGGTTGAGGGATAGAATGAGCGGGGTGCTGAAACGAGAAAGGGTTTTAAAGAGAGGAGGAAGAATTAAAAAGAGAAGGGGTTAGGATACAGATCTGTGTGTGTTTTGATTGGCAAATAATAATTACTTAGTTAACAGGGGATTACCGCACTAAATCCTAGCTGTCCATTAGGAGGTCTATTTTTGAAAAGAAAAGAAAAAACAACAGTCCAATCTGTAAATTACCAAACTCTCATGGGCGGCAGTGGACTGAATTTGGGTCTTGAGTTTGTCTCTTTAACCATTTCAGGATTTCTCATCTTTTTATTTTTTTTTTTTTCAATTTTTTGTTTTTTTTTAATAAGATTCTCTGAGTCTGAGAGAAAATCGGTGATGCATGAAAAAGACACTTGATGCCCTAAGTAGGAACCGAAAGTTGATGACCAAAATAAGAAGGGAGATCGACATTTTCCCACCCAAGGTTTGGCACACTTCCCCACTTATGAATTTTCAAAATGATACTTTTTCACCTATTGTTATGTTCTATTAACAAAAACCGTTACTATTTAATCGTAAAGATGAAAATACCCTTTATTATTTGATTTAATAAATTTTTTATTATGTTATGTCATATTAACAGAGTCAATTACCAATATATCCACCCTTAAATACGAAATTATTAATATGTGCTTAATTGTATATGAAAATATAAATTACCAATTTGTTCCTCTATTTTTTAATTAAAAATAATGTTTTAAATCAATGAAGTTACAACTAGATTTTTTAAAATTTGAAACCTTTAAAATTACCAATTTATTACCCGATTTATCCCTGTAGTTGCTACAACGCATTTATATTTAATTTTTGTCAATTTAAATCCAAATAAAACTAAGTATCAACATTACTATATTCTTAAATAAAAATCCAGATTGTAAACTTACTGTGCATATATATAAGTAATTTTGTCAATTCAAACTCAATAAAAATAGGGAATTCAATACAAAGAAAGAAGCTTTTCCACTTTCTCATTCATTTCTTAAAATCCAAAAAGTTTTGTTTTCACCCTCTCGCTTTCTAACTCCTTGAAGCTTGATTTTCCTTTGCTTTCTACATCTTCAAAACCTTCTTCACAATCCTTTGCTCTTCCACCAAGAAAACTTGAATTTGATGTATTATTTTCAGCCGAAGTTACCATCTTCAGTACCTTTGCAACTACCTCAGGAGGCTATTCTCCATTTAACTTAGTGTCAACGAAATGTTTCACCTTATCTTCACCGAGTTTTGGAGTTGTTTAAAACAATCCAGAATTGCACAAAAATCAGCTTGAATGAAGCTTACACATATATGGATTTGTTATCTATAAGTATAGAGAATAACAAAATAGAAAAAATATGTATGTTCCAAAACAAGATANAAGAGAGAGATGCAGTTGGTTATTCGATTGAATGACCTGGATTGGTCCTGGATATGAAGTAGCCATATTAGTTAGTTGAGAACAAAAGCTAGCATGCAGTGAAAAGAATCCAAGAGGAATCCCTTTAAACCCTCTTGAGGTAATGATCGGTCACAGATCCACTGAGAGATTGAGTGCTTCAAAAACCCTAATCTGAAAACTAGGGTTTATGAGTAAAAGCTTATATTAATGTTTACTGTTTCTTTTAAAAAAAACTATTGAATGAAACAAAGCAGGTGAAGAAAGAGGAGTTTGGAGATTTCAAAGAGAAATAAAGAAGGAGTGAATGGTTGAGGGATAGAATGAGCGGGGTGCTGAAACGAGAAAGGGTTTTAAAGAGAGGAGAAGAATTAAAAAGAAACAAAGAAAGAAGGGGTTAGGAATTAGGATACAGATCTGTGTGTGTTTTGATTGGCAAATAATAATTACTTAGTTAACAGGGGATTACCGCACTAAATCCTAGCTGTCCATTAGGAGGTCTATTTTTGGAAAAGAAAAGAAAAAACAACAGTCCAATCTGTAAATTACCAAACTCTCAATGGGCGGCAGTGGACTGAATTTTGGGCTTTGAGTTTGTCTCTTTTAACCATTTCAGGATTTCTCATCTTTTATTTTTTATTTTTTATAAGATTCTCTGAGTCTGAGAGAAAATCGGTGATGCATGAAAAAGAGACTTGATGCCCTAAGTAGGAACCGAAAGTTGATGACCAAAATGAGGAGGGAGAACGATATTTTCCCACCCAAAGATTTTGCAAAACTACACTTTCCCACTCATGAAGTTTCAAAATGACACTTTTTCATCCACCATAAGTTTCAAAATGACACTTTTCACCCACCATTATGTTCTGTTAACAAAATCCATTACTATTTGATTGTAAAGATGAAAGTACCTTTTATTATTTAATTTAATATTTTTTTATTATTTTATGTCATGTTAACAAAGTCAACTACCAGTATATCCACTCTTAAATACGAAATATTAATATGCCCTTAATTGTATATGAAAATATAAATTACCAATTTATCCCTCTATTTTTTAATTAAAAATAATGTTTTAATTCAATAAGGTTACAACTAGATTTTTAAAAATTTGAAACCTTTAAAATTACCAATTTATCCCTGTACTTGCTACAACGCATTTATATTTAAATTTTGTCAATTTAAATCCAAATAAAACTAAGTATCAACATTATTATATTCTTAAATAAAAATCCATATTGTAAAATTACGGTGCATATGTATAAGTAATTTTGTCAATTCAAACCCAATAAAAATAGGGAATTCAATACAAAGAAAGAAGCTTTTCCACTTTCTCATTCATTTCTTAAAATCCAAAAAGTTTTGCTTTCACCCTCTCGCTTTCTAGCTCCTTGAAGATTGATTTTCCTTTGCTTTCTAGATCTTCAAAACCTTCTTCACAATCCTTTGTTCTTCCACCAAGAAAACTTGAATTTGATGTATTATTTTCAGCCAAAGTTACCATCTTCAGTACCTTTGCAACTGCCGTAGAAGGCTATTCTCCATTTAACTTAGCATCAACGAAATGCTTCACCTTATCTTCACCGAGTTTTGGAGTTGTTTAAAACAATCCAGAATTGCACAAAAATCAGCTTGAATGAAACTTACACATATATGAATTTGTTATCTATAAGTATAGAGAATAACAAAATAGGAAAAAATATGTATGTTCCAAAACAAGTAGTGGTAGAAAAGAATAAAGTGAAGTTCATACCCATGTCACAAGGCTCTGCTACTCACACGACAGAGTATGATCAATAGGCTTCCACCCAGTTACGAGTTCAACAGGACAAGACCAAAGCTATAAACATCACTCTTTGCACTCAACTGTCCTATCATACGTATCTGCAATCCAAAATCAAATATTAAGGCTGGAGAGATTTATAGGTGTTTCAGGAAAAAAAAAAAAAAAAAAAAGATAATTTTCCAAACCAAGGTTTCAAGTGTGTACCAATCAATCTAATTCTTTTGCTATTTCTTCATCACTTTTAACTTCACTTCTCAGGAGGGGTTCTGACATAGTTTCCTGATTAACTGTACTCTGTGAAACCAGCCATTAGTCTAGAAAAATGTGACACGCCAAACGTAGCATAATATGCAAAATGTTCTTGCATGTACCATCTCTATCTGAAACATGTTTGATGAGAAGATCTATGATAGTATGAAGTATATCTAAAAAAAATAAGATATCTACAAATTGCAAAGTCATAAATCTTTGATTACCATGGGATTTACTCCAGAATTAGGTGCAGATAACAAATATTTCTCATATTTTTTTCTCAAAGATATTCCTCATTGCCACTAGTTCTAGAATTCTAAGGATCTTGGGGAGGCAAATATCACACTAGCTTTCCTATTGCAATGATGGTAAGTTGGCCACTATTAACTCAAAAAATAAACTCAAGAATTATTAGCAGCTAAAACATTTTGTTCTCATATCAAATGTTCAACCGCAGCGTTAAATTTTGACACAAATTATTAGGACTATCTTTTAAAAGCAAAATGAGGGCAAAGAAGGATCTAGGAATAAAGTTTAGGCAGATGGAGAAGTTGGGGTTGGAGATTAAGGAAATCTAGTGTTTGGATACAACTTTAAATTTGACCAAGGATTTGATAGGGAGGCAAACAAATATGTCAATTAGAAGGTCATAATTGTTAGCCATTTTTTCGGTTGATGATGATGATTAGTATTGGTGAGAAGAAGAGGGGGCTATAGATTTGGTAGAGTCAGCTAGGGCTTTGTTTGTGGAAAGCATGATTGAGCATATGGTGGGAAAACTACAATATATCCAGTGTGATTTTTAATCGAACACTTAGAATGCGGAAACAACAGTAAGAAATCCAAATTTGAAGCAACGATCAATAAATGAGGAGATAATCAAAACACAGTGGGACAGAAATAAACAACACAATGAAAACACAAAGCAATGTGATTTAGAGGAAAATATATCTGAATCCATAGGTAGTGACATCCTCACTGTAGTTCTACAATTTCAAAGAAACCCTAGATTTTTCTCCACACGATCTCTTCTCTTGCCAATCACTAATCGTAAGCTGCCACTCGCCAACCCTAAGTCGCTAGTCGCTGAGAACAAGGAGAAAAGGAAAATGACTTTTCGTTAGTCGACAACTCTAAGTCGACAGTCGCCAACCCTTGGTCGCTAGGCTTTAGTTACTGAGAATCGGGAGAGTTACAGAGAACAAGGAGAAAAGACTTCTCCCTTTTTTTTTTTTTTTCCATTCAGGCGAAGTTTCAATTTTCAATTTTGATTTTTAGGGCTTCATGTAAATAGACCATCTCACCCTTCTTCAAAATGAATTTGCCTAACAGAACAAAATGGTGGGTGGAATAGTGTCATTTTGAAACTTTACTGGTGGGAAAGGTTGTTTCGTCAAACCTTGGGCGCGAAAAAGTCGTTCTCCCAAATGAGGAAGTGGAGTACCCTGTCCAATTGGGGGGCTGGACTGGAAGAACAGCTTTTTGCATGAAGTAATTACTAAAGTAAATGAAGTAATTAATTTTGTTTTCTATTTGCACACAGATCTTATTCTGACCATTTGCTGGCGTTTACCAAAATTGCCAAAATATACTGTCGTTTTGTGCTCTGGCTTCCCGCTAAATAGCTGAAGACGCCACTTAAATTGCATGATCATGATATATGCTAGCTTTTTGTGGACTAGAATAATCACCAGATCCAGGAACAGAGGTTTTACCGTTTCAGCTTCAAATCAGTTGTTTTTCCACGTGCAATGCTTTAAAATCAAGGTATAAAGAAGGGAGAACGACATTTCCCACCTAAGGTCCGATGAAACGACACTTTTTTTAAGTAACACTTTTTCATCTTTTGTTAGATTGTGTTAGTGTTTTCTGTTAATATTTGATTAAAAAGATAAAAATATCTTTAAATATTTTATTTTTTAATCAGTTTATTATAAATTAAAATTTAGTTAATTCAAAGTCTTTATTCGATTATTTATTAGTCCAAATATAAAGATATATTTTTTCTTTCTTTATTTAATTAATTAGAAATATTAATTTTTTATGTTAAATGGTAAAAATAAAAAATATTGTAAATAATAGTGATAAGATATTGATGACATTATAAATAAATATTAAGATTATTTAACTTTAAACAATTTTATAGCATTACTCCTAACTTTTTAAATGAAATTAACTATTTTTTCTTTTTTAAATTTTTAATATTTAACTTTTTGACTAATTAAAAAATAATAAAAAATTTATAAAGTAAAATATTCAAAAGTAATTTTGTCTTTTTAATAAAATATTAACGAAAAATATAACAAAACCTAACTATGGGTGAGAAAATATCCTTGTGAAACTTGATGGGTTAAAAAGTGCCATTTCGCCAAACTGGATGGAAAAATATCGTTCTCCCTATAAAAAAAACAATTATATCTTTACCATAACAGGATTAGTTATAAAATAGTAGTTGAAGAAACGTATGTTTCGTTATCGAAGTTTGACGTGATATAAATTAATTATATACTACACTTACTTTACCAGAACCTAGAAAGTAATTTCTGCATAAAACCAAATCTTCAACAGTCAACACATTTTGATGAGCCACATACAATTTCCTACGTGGGCAAAAAGATTTGGACCTAGACAAATTCGGGGTAATATTTCCTCAGCCAAATAATAAAACTGCTGAATAATCATTTAACAAAAGAACCCGAGCCGGTTCTGTGTCACCAACGTGATCCTCAACTACATCCAGTCCAGGTTACCTAAAATACAGAAGTTGTTTACAATTTCTCAAAATTACCTAAAGAGCAGTGTCACAAAATAATAGTTCTCACCAGCCTCTCTCCTCTGATCTATTTTCGCTACATCATCCTATGTTTTAGAAATCAAAGTTACAGGTAAGGTCAAGCCCACAGATGAGCGAGCATACAGAAAATAAATTAAATTAAAAGGGGCTTCGGGCAGCAAAGTGTGTATAGTGTACAACTCTAGCTTAGCTCTCAATAATAACTCCCATAGTAGGCCTGTGGTACTGCAGCGGCAGCAGGTTGCTGCACTGGGACTACCGTTGCTACTGCTGCTGCTGCCGTTGGTTGTGCATAACTTTGTTGGGGAAAGGCAGACTGAAATTACAACCAAACGATTAAGATCAGCACTCTATAAAAAAAGAAAAAAAAAAAAAAAAAAAAGATATTTGTAGCACATTACATGTATTAAATTGATGTTAAGAGTAATTTTAGCATTGCCTCTATCATCAGTTACATGGTTCAACAAATTTCTAAGATGGCAAAGAGTTAAGACTCTGGGGAACACCGGATAGTCCCCTTAGCTGCTAACCAGATATGGTCCACTGTCCAAGGCAGCAATTGGGCGAATACTGGTGTTCCCCAACCATTGAGGTACTCAAATTTTAAAAATGGCCAAAAAATAAGAACCTCAATTACTAAAATGTGGTAACCAATGTCAAAAAAAATCGAACTACAGCAGCAAAACCTTGAAGAAATAATTGAACTAGAAAAGCAACAAAAAAGATTGTCCAAACATAAAAACACAAAACAAAAGCAATAACTTTATGCAGGTCCAGCAATATCTAACATTCCCTATAAATAGAGGTAAGATACCAGCACCACAAGGTGCTCAGAGATCGGCTACACTTGCTACACAAATTTCATTCCATCAAAGAAGAAATGCAAAAAAAGAACTAGGAAATATAACACAAGAAGAGAACAATGGCATGTTTTGAACTCTTCAGAACTAATATTGCTGGAGCATTTCGTACCTGAACAGGATAGGTAGGAGGATAAGCACCATAAGCAGCAGCACTTTGTGGTGCTGATGTTGGTATTTGAGGCGCAACATAGCTGCTGCCATAACCACTATATGCACTGTATGCAGCCTGTTACAAGGGAAAAGTTGCTGTCAACAGATGAAACACAGAATCATGTCCTTTATAGTAAAATTAGCACGCACTTACGATGTGAATGAATGGAAACTAGTTTTAAAATGTTATAGCTACAGACCCTCATGCAACTCTTTGAGCCTAGATGCAGTGATCAAAAGTTTAACAAACCTCCTCTAAACACCCAGATTTAACTATGCATTACACAAACATCCCACCACTTTGAAATAGTCCTTAAAGTGGCAAACTACCTGTTGACCATAGGCAGGGTATTGCTGCGCCTGTGCTTGAGTAGCTGGTGGCCAAGCTTGGGGCTGTACACCATAACCAGCAGCCCAAGGATTTTGTGCACTTGGATAAGCACCCATCAAAGACTGGGCAGGGGATGGTGCACCAGAATATGATTTGGCCATCTTTGCCCTCTCTGAAGCTAGGAAATCCTCAGCATGACGTTTTTTCAACTCTGATGTACTCCTATGTGGTAAGAACAGTTTTGCATGGCGGTCTTCAGCCCTCTTGATGGACTGTGCATCTCCAAAGAGACTAAGAAACTGCTAGATCAATTGTAAGCAAACGAGTGTTTCAGTCACACATGTTCTCTTCATAAAATTTAAAGTATTTTTGGATATAAAGGATGCAAAAATTTTGTTCTAACAGAAACATGATTAGATAGCATACAAAATTTCCATTCACATATTTTTTCAAAAAAATTAAGTACTAACTAACGTTTATAAACCAACTTCCCATAAAACCCTGTTGCCAACTGGATTTAATCTCAAGGCCGCATGAAAACCCTAAGAGGTCCAACCAACCTAACTAATTAGTACTCTGGATTTTAAAATGCCAGAAAATTATGTTGTCTCTTTGCTTCCAAATAAACAAATGCTGAAATTTTGATTTTACGCAATATCAACAATAAGACAAACTAATTGTGCATAATCTCTTGCATAATGTAAATACTCTAGACCTTGAAATCTGTTTCTGAGCTATACTGTATACAGCTTGGAGTAGAATGAAAAAAAATCTAGACCTCAAAATCGATTACCTCCAGAAAAATGCAAGATAGCTCTTCCCTCTCACCAGCACTTGCAGTGTTGGAGCTGTCTGAACTGGGCACAATAAACTTGCCAACCAATGACTCCAAATAATCAGTTTGTCTTGGCGGAGACTGAATAGACTCAAAATGAATCAAGGCCTGCATGATGATGAACCAAAACATAATTAGGCAACACTTTTAGAGAAAATCCAAAAAGCATAGCCAATCTATATGTGTCAATTTGAGAGAGAGAGTTCAAGTGAACAAACCTCAAGAAGTGGTTTTGATAGTTGCACATGCTCAAGTGAGTTGACAAGAATTTCCCGAGCTTTCTCTGCATTTCCAGAAACCTAACAATGCATGAACAATACAAAAGTTGACGAGTCAATTTTCTGTTACTAAGGTAACAAAATATCAAGGAACAAATTATAACTCAACTGTCATAAAAATGCAAAATGAAAGTCGGAAGAACAAAAATAAAAAACAAATAGTAAGGGCGATCATTCTTTTTACAAATGCTAGGCCAGACAGAGAAACAACTATTGAGAAAGTAAAAGGGTTAATTGTGGGGAAGCAGGCTAGATCACATACTTTGACAAGAAATTTCAGTCTCTGTACTTTATATTATAGGAAAATTTATAATGTTCCTTGAAACTGAAAACTGCTTAAGCCAAGTTCATTGTTTTAACTCTGCATAGTCACAAGTACAAGACTCAACAATGTAAACCATAGTGGTCATTATATCCTAAACTAGGCAACACTTTGACAACAAAAAGCGCATAAGAAAGCAATCACATAAGCCAACCCACCAAGTATACAAAACGAGAGTACTGAGCATACAACATTGGTAATGTTTGTGAATGTTCTTTTCCCTTTTCAATGGCAATGGCCTGTTCATATAAAGAAAATGCACCTTCAAGATTGCCCTGCAAAATAAGGAAACACAACCAAGTTAACACCAGCAATAAGTTTTTTGAAACAAGCACCCTTAACATACTGCTTACAAAAAATTACCAGCCGATGTTCCATGTTTGCATGCTTGATAATGGCTTCAAGAAAGCCAGGAGAAATTTCAGTATGTACAAGTTGATATGCTGCTCGAGAACCATCTATATCCTCATTCTGCTCCTTGAATCGAGCAGCAAATAGGTGAATCTCTGGCACTCTCTGTTGAAATTGTGGTAATAAACAAATAACTCTCATCAGTAAATCGAAGAAGCAACGGAAATCTGTTAAATCATTATTCCGAAAATATTGCATTGGAATCTTTTATGGGGTTCTGCTAAAGAGTATACTTCAATTGTCAATGTTCAGCACAAGCAGCCCAAACACAGATAACTTTAAATAAAAGAACAAAACTATCCGTATTTGAAGTATATGATGCCCTAAGACCCAACTAATACTTGATCACTTCACATTAACTAAAACAAAGAAAAAGATATAACATATATAGTGCACTTTTTTAATTCACTATGCCCACGCTAATCAACAGAATGAGTGAAACTAAAGAATAGAGAAAAATCACAGAATCCACATTGGCAAATTGCTCCTTTCTCATTCCCTGTATCCACCAATCCTCTTCCTCTGGCTGCTGCTAGCATTTCCTAATTCAGATTCCATATTTCCAACAGAAATATCACCTGATGTTATGATCTACATTTTAACCATTTCTTATACTAGGAATCAACACTCCCCGCCCATTTCAAATATTTTGGGAAAAAAAACGATAATTTTCAGTTTCATAACTGAATGAAACTATTTTTTTTAGGTTTTGTTTTCAATCAGATTAAACCATTGATTCCCACTAAATCACTTTTCTCTAAAACGATATGCACGAAATTACAAATAGGGATTCAAACCACTATTTCACTTCAAACCAACAATTCACAGTAATACTCATCAAATATGTTCTAACATATATCTGCGGCTTGATTACTTATCTTAATTTTCCGAAAGGGCTCTCAAGCAAATGTCTTTATCAATGTGAACAAGCAAACATGTATTCATGGCAATGCAAAAAAAAAAAATCATTTGTCCAAAAGTCAGTCCAGGTTAACCCATTAACATTTTTTCTTTAAGCAACAGTGAACTCAATAAATTGACAAAAACCAAAATCTTAAGATGCAATGTCTGAAAAAACCTTTCTGACAATTTGCTCCCAAAAGTTCCCGTTACTACCAAATCAGTTCTCAATTCGATTTCCATGCAAAAGAATTAGAAGAGCAGATTCAAGTAACAAGATTGCTCAACTACTCAATGGCTCAAAATCAACATTTTACTTAAAACTGCAAGTAAATCGCCTCCTGCAGTCATGCAGAAATGTTTTGAGAAAACAAATACAGATCCATATCTAATACCTTGACAAAGACTTGAGTTGCACGAGCAAGTGCATTATCTGCAAGATCCATACTTCCACTGGCTTCCATGCACAATACATACCGTATCCAGTACTCAGGATAATTTGCACATGCTACTAAACATCTTTCATATAACTTGACCACCTAACCACACAGAGAAACATCACTGGTTAAAAAGTAACATAATCTATCACAAAAAGAACCAAAGAGGTAATGTAAAGCACAAAAGAGATATGCATAAGAAATACTCCATTAGTAGAATAGAGAGGCCCCTCATATACGAAAGGAGGGACCCTCCTTGCCTGACAGATAGATGGTTAGGAAGACAAGAACACACCTGCATGCATAACATGGGAACTTTAAAAAGAATAAAATTTACTATACAACACATTACGAACCTAAAATGTCCACGGACAAATGAGGGTTTGAAGTACTTAGCCTTAAAGTAACCAAATCGAAGGCCCATGCTTTAGTCTCAGTTCAAATTCCCGTTTAAAAAGTTGCTTCACCCAACGATTTAGCCAATAAAGCATATGATGGAGCAGATATTACTTAACTGTAAGTCAACTTATAATCAAGAGGACAACTAAAAACTACAAACCACAGATTCTCAAAGATGGACTGCTAACAAACCAAATACCTTGTTGAAGTCTCCTTCTCTTTCTATAAAGTCCAGATAGTTATGCCAGTTTTCAAGCTCAGCAATACTTAGTGGCTTGACATGAAAATAGGGTCTCCTGATAGCTGTTTCAAAACCAATGATCTTGGAATCGAACTCTTTAGCTTTCTTATAAATCTCTTCTCTGACTGCAATATACTTCTCCAACTCCTCTGCTTCTGTTAAGCCAGCATTTACAGGTTTAGAAGATTGCTCAGCTGCTTCAGGTTGGTCCTCTTCCTCATTTGCTTTTACTTCATCAGTAGCCTCAGAAATTGCTTCAGCATGAGTAGCAGCAGTTGTTTCCTCAGCAGTCCTCAACTCTGACAAAGGTCGACTTCCAGCAAACTCCTTGAAACTGTAAATTGCACCACTAAATTCATTAAATGGGTATAATACATCTATATAATAATATTCGATCTAAATAGCAACAGTCAACACATGTCAAAGCAAAAAAATAAAAAATACAAGAGATGTTCAAACATAACTGCAAATTCCAAATAAATACAAAGCATTTCTGTCCATATGGTATAGCAAAATGATAGCCTATTCTTTATGCACTATAGCATAGCATAGCATCCCATGAAATCACATTTTCAAAACAACTGGGGGGAATTTAACAGTTCCCCCCTTCCAGCATAATCAAATCTTCTTTACCAGCTTATAAAAAATTAAAAAAGGCCTCATACAGCAACATAAAACAAAGCAGGGAACTAGATATATCACACAATCCACTTTAACAACAATTGGTAAGAATTTCCATGAAAAAGTTATACTTCCTAACAGTTTTATAATCATATTCTTACAAGAAACATACTCAACCATATGCCAAAGATATATGACAAAAGAGTCCAGTAAACCCCAAACCATAAATTAAAGAAAAGCATGCCACACCAAGACATTCATAATAAACTTCATAATCACAAAACCATTCGCTCAACTCATACATTCTGAAGCTGCTTGCCCATGCTTTGGACGAACACTGATTAGGAGAATGCACACACACATACATGCCAAAAGCAGTCAATTACAAAAACAAAGATCAAATTCCAAAACCATCTACAGCACAACACACAATTTCAACATGCTCTTCATCTTGAAAGAATGGAAAATATTGAAAAGACCTATCCACTATAAATATAACAACTACTCAATACATAACACAAACAGATAATTGGTTACACATAATAACAAGAAATTACCTGCTGAAATGCCGATCTAATTGTTGATTTGGATTTTCAAACATCCTAGTGTAAATCATTGCAACACGGCTCCAGTCCTGCTGCATGTATTCATATTCAATGTATTTCTCCCAAAGGGGGAAAGAAAGGTAATCTGTTCCAACATAAGCCAACCCCCGTTCAAAAAGCCTGAAACACCATCAGCATTAAGAACGTTGTTATGACATATATATATAAATCAATTCAGTTGACGCAAACATCCAGAAAAATGGAGCAGCTGCACTAATGTTGAAGGAGAACAATTCACTCTAACAGCATATGACACATCCAAACGCTGCATTTACCTTCCTGATAAAAATCATATTATGTCCGAAATGAAGCAGTGAAAGAGGCCATCTTAGCCCTTAACTGGATGAGATCTTCCCAGCGGCATTTTGCAAAATGATGCACCCCGGAGTGTCAAAGTTGAAGACAACCATAATTTAAAAATAACTACTTGACTACAACACAGGCCTTCAGGAAGTAGAAGAGAAAGGTACGAAGAGGCCAAAAAAAGTTTTAATATCATAAATAACAACATGACTATGACAAAGGCCTCATATTCAAAAATTTGCAACAAAAGAATGAAAGAAATCATTTTTAAAGTGCATTCCCATCAAAACTTTCCGCCAGTGTAATTGCTGTTGCAGGAATACTGAAATGACGTTAGAAACAACAAAATATATCGCCAGATCCTTGTGACCGAAAAATTCATGCAGTCACCATCTCCCAATGCAGTTAAACAATGACAATGTACAAATAAACAACCATTACCTTCGGATAGTGTCTGGATCTCCGTATGTGTTTATAGCAAATATGCAGTAATGCAACCAAATGTCAACTGAATATGTCACCCCTTGAACAGCTCGTTCATAAACCTCTACAACTTTGTCCATGGAGCCCACGCGTGCCTCATGATCAGCATACTTCTTCCAATAACCATAACACAAAGGAAATTCAGCCAAAAAAGCATCATAAACTCTTCGTATCTTCAGTATATTGTCCTGCACAAAACACATTGATATTAGTTCACACCAAACAGCTATTTAAGTTGCATTACATGCATATAAAACAACCAACCAGTGGATTTGTTGCAGAGAGTAGTTCATTGTTCTACTATTCTTCACTATTAAACAGGATATGCATTGGGATATGAACAGACCCAAAATAATCCTTTACTATGAAACTGATTATCCCAGGATATTGTCAGACCTTGGTACAGGCATAGTTAGGAAGTTGATATTTAACCTTCATTCTAAGTAACAGACAGACCTAATCCGTAGTAAGTAGAGTCATAAGGACTTCCTAGGTCCAACTGAAACTAGAAATTTGAAAATCAGCTAAAAAAGAAATAAACATATACTTGAAAGGAAATAAAAAAAAAGTGGCTGAGATTGCCTACTCCAAATAAATGCATCACGTGCCAAAAAGGTACCTAATTCTCTACTTTCAAGGTTAGCAATTCAACACACACAACAGACATGAAAAGATAAATTGACTATCTTTGAGATTGCATTGTCTTACAAAACAGCCTATGTAATCTTCTCTTGCAATAAACTAAAAACATACACAACCAACAACCCTAGCTATTTATATCAATCCTTAAACAAAAATACCTCTGCCAACTTCTCTGTCTCTTCAAGTAAAGCGGTCCATGCGTTAAAGTCAGCAGAATTAGCCTTCACAATGCTCCATAATCGATCTTCTTCACCTGACATTGCTGACACCACAGATAAAAGTGGCAAAATTAATGAATGAAATCTTAATTTTAGAAGAAAATAAAAACAAATATCTTATCTACAGAAAATTTGTCAATTAACATTCCAGTTCCCACTAAATATGAATTATAAAGTTTCTAATGTAGAGACACATATATTATTGGTAACCACAATATCAGTGGCCTGTAGATGATATTATTAGATGAATCCCTGTTGCCAACAATACTTATTTCAAGTTCAAAAGGCAGCTATAATAAATCTCAAACAAGCAAAAACAAGAAAATTGAAGCAAAAAAAAAACCATTACATCTAGATATTGGCCCATAAAAATGAAACCCAAGATGTGTAACAAATAACAGCATAAATCAAAAATTGAAGGGGAAAATATCAAATTGAATCAGGAAGAAAATTTCTTGAAATCAATACAAAGTGTTGGGTAACAACATTCCAGCCAAAGGCCACAAGTGTGTCTGTGGCTTCAAATTAGAAACATTCAAAAACTGAGCTTAACTGTAGTATAAGAAAGACATACATGAACCATCCATGACCTCTTGCCCGCTGGCAGCTCCACTTCCAATACCCAAAGAACTTCCATTTTCAATTGAAGTTACATTTCCGGCTTCACTAACATTGCCATTTAAAGAACTATAACCAGAAGCTTGTGATGGAGCCACAGATGCATTTTCCAAACCTGTAACATTATCACTAGCAGCAGCGGCCCCGGCAGCTTGAACCTGTTGCATGACAGAATTCGGATCCATATTATAAGCATTCCCATCACCTAAACCAGAACCAGCAGCAGGTACAATATAAGTTCCATCAACCGGAGCACCAGAAGCAGCATAATCTCCAGCAGCCCCAGACGTAAAAGCACCAGCATCAGGAGCAGAATTTGTGCTGGCATCAGCATAGCTAGTGTTAGTGTAGCCTGCAGATGAATAGCCCATGACTGCAGATGTTTCAGCAACTAATGTTTCACTGTCTCCCATACTTGATGAGCAGACTTTCAGTTCACTCTGAGGCTGCAAGATTAGAAGAAAATTCAAATCACAACCAAATCCCAGTTCATGATATTGATTTATATGGTTCATGTTATCACTTCAATCTGTCTTTGGTATGATTGCTAAACAAAACAATATTCAGTAAAGACATACCAAAAAATGACCCCGACCTTATTTCTCTTCGGATGAATTTTAACCCAATCTTCCACCGACACCATCACTTCAATATACACGTTACTCCAGAAAATGTTCTGCTATTTAATCCAATCACTTATAAATGCCTATTTGATTATCAAACCAGCCATAAGTCTCCTCTAACAAACAGTTAGTCCAAATTAGTACTCAGAATTACAATTTTACTCTCTTTCATTTATAATTCTAGCCGATAATTCACTTTCTATTAGTATCAAAGAAACACATTTAATTTGCAAACTAGAGCAAACCCTAGACACTTAAAACTAGCACAAGACTCTAAAATAATAGCTTGGAACTTAAAAACATACATTTTAAGCAAAGAAAAGAAACGAAAAACCCTAATCCGACGGTCTCCGCGTTCTTAAACCCTAATTAAAAGCAATTAAGAACGTAAGTGTAAGCAACGTAAGCCATAAGAAGAAAGCAATGGTTGTGAACTTACCAGAAGCGGAGAGACGGCGCCGTTTCTGGAGAGTTCAGGATTTGGTTTCTGAATTGAAAGGTTGTTCGTAGTTTTTGAGTCTTGCTTTCCTGGTGGGGGCAAAAAAATTGCAAATAAAGAGAGAGCTTAGGGCTTAGAATTTGGTACGCGCGTGCCTTTTATAAGTGAATGGATGTGTGAATTTGATGGCGCTTTTGTTTTATGATGGATTTGATACGGGCCCTGGGATTGAAAGAGCTGGTGATCGGATAACTCACTTGGGTGAGTCACGTGGAGTACTTTTTTCTTTGCCACGTCGGGTCTTATTCGAAAATTGAAACTAGGATTTACCGATTTAGCGTTGGTCGGCGTGGCATTTGACGCCTGACAAGTGCTCACTTTTCGACTGGAACTTGAAAGTGGGCCTGTGAATATTGGTATAAACCTTGGGCCTGGGCCCGTTTTATTTGAGTCATATCCAAACTTTTTCAAAGCCCGTATTAAATTATACTTTATTAAATAAAATTAAATACACACATTATTAAATACGAGTAACAGTACACGTACATTCTAATCTTACAAATTTTTTCTCACAATCCTGACATATTAGCTCGTAATTGGTTCTTGATAAATTTTTTCTATGTGACCAATTGCGAACTATCACATCGGAATTGTAAGAAAAAGTTTGTAAAATTATGTCATAAGTCAATCTTTAATGTTTCAATAATAAATTAAACAATATTATTATTAGTCATGAAAGTAAATACCGGAAAAAAATTGTGCTTAGGCTAAAATAATATGAAATTATGAATGAATCCAAAATCAATATCATACAATGTTGTTTCTAAATAAAAAGATTCACTTTTGATATGATTTTGTAACAGATGACCTTCGATTTTTCAAATCTACTACTAGTTTTAAAGATTTACTTTTGTGTAAAGCAAGAGCCTAAGTTCGATTCCTGAGAACCTTCTCTTGTTGCATTTGCAGAACCTTTGGCTGGCACTTAATGCTCAGTATTGAACTTTTTTAAAACTTTGGAAGAGCTTATTTCGATCAGTTGTGCCCAAAAATAATATCAGACCGAAACTGGCAGTTGAATTTGAAGATAGAGGCTATACAAAGCTTAATTATCAAATGCCTTCTTACGAATGTCTCACTTCTGTGGTTCATCAATTCAAGAATGCAAGATAAATGAAAAACAAAAGAAAATTTGCATACTCATCTCCTAGAAGAAATATGATACGTAAAATGTAAACAACAAAACAAGAATAAGGCGCATAACAGTTATTATAATTGAGACCATTTAGCATTTTAAAAAAAAAGAACAAAAACAAATCCGGCATAATATATCATGACAGTATATTTAAAGCCCAGTTGAACTTGATTTAATTTCCTTCTTTAAACTTGCTTTCCGCCTTGGAACTACTGGCTTTGCAGATTTGCTTTGTGTAAGGCCGCTGTTGTTACCAAATGCATCCCTGGAGCCTTTTCTTGCAACCAGAGGACTTCTAGCCGTGAAGCCTTTAATGGGGCTAGAGACGGCTGCAGTTTGGGTAGGCACTTTCGCATCATGATGAAGCTTTTTCAGAGAGGAAGATCTTTCATTATCGAACTTGTTGATATTTCCGATCATCCCATCATTATCTGACAACAAAATTAAAGAACCCTCTATCAACTTTTGCACCATGGAAGCGACTTGATTCAAATACAAGATTTTACACTATACCAGGACTGGATAGGACTGCGCGAGGGCGTGTGACTGAGCTAGCTCTGGCATTCAAGAGTTTGGTATCCTTGTTGATTTGTCTATTGCTCTTTGCTGCTGTCCCATAAATAGTTGTTAAATTGTTGAGCATTTGTGTTACTACATTTATCTACATGAAAGACGAACAAAGCAAAAGATTAATAGAAGAACAACCTTTGGATGGGGTAACCGATTGTGCTTTTACAATTGGGGCATTCACCTTTGTGATTTTGGCAACTGAAGGAGAAGAATTGCTCTTGTTTTCCTCTGGTACAAAAGTATTTATATAAGATAACTGGGGATTAAACTTCCATAACATGATAAAAATTTGTTAATGCAGTGAAAGAAATCCGAATTGTGGAATGCATACCATCAGAAGAGTGATGATCTTGTAAAGACAGAGATTCAATAACCTTTATGAACAGAAATGATCCTCTGTCATCTTGTTCTTGCTCTTGTTCTTGTTGCCTCACCTTCACCTGTGGATACACTTCAAAATCCAAAATAACAAATGGATAATCCAAGTAAGAAATTATTAGACAAGGAAAGCTACATGAATAAGCTATATATTTGCATTAAATGTGAACCTACTATCTGTATGTATATCGTGTGCTTTAAACTCCGAAAACAACAATTAGATTGAGAATAATATAATTGAAACAAGCAAATCCTGATGAGAAGATATTCCAATAAATAACAGCAAGGCATTTATAAGAAAATATGATCACGTATGGAACATATGATTTTGAATTAAAGAAACAAAAGGAGGAAAGAAGCAGACAAAGCTATGTCAGATCTTATCTCACTTTAATGTTGAGTTTTGCAATTCAAATGGGTTTGGTTCTTGAGAATGCGTATTCTTGAGGAATAGTGAAAGTCAGAGAGAACAAGCAACGGCCACTGCTGACACCCTCTGAAAAGTTGTATTTCAATTTGGGTATTTCGTAAACCCCCATAGTTCTGCCAATATTTATTCCACCCGCTATTATGGAAAATAGGAGGATAACCCCCATTGGTTAATTTTGACTGTCAACTTTAACAGATAATTAGGTATTTTTGGGTCCGTTTGATTTATTATTTTAGATAGAATTTTAAAAATAATATTGGATAGTTGAATAGGGTGATTATTACGAGGTAAAATTTAAAAATTAACCAAAAAAAACCCTTAGATTTGTTAATTTAACTAAACACCCCCATATATAAAAAAAAAATTATAAAATAACAAAAACACCCCCACCCACCCACAATGCCAGATTCCGGCCACCACAGCCAGAATCTAGTTGGAATCTTCCGTTACGACGCAGACCGATCAGATCTGGCTGGCCTTGCGTCAATCTGGCCTTTTCCGGCCAGATGGTCGTCAATGGCCGCAAAAGGCCAGATCTGGCCGTCTATGGATCTGGCTGAAAAAGACCAGATCGGCAAATTACCGACCAGTTCCCGTTGTTTGTAGGCCGTTGTGACATATTCCGACTACCACCGATGGTGGTTGTCGGAATTTGGCAACTATGGGTGGGTGGGGGTATTTTTGTTAATTTTTAAACTTTTTTTTAGGGGTATTTAATGAAATTAATAAATTTAAGGAGTCTAAAAGTAATTAAAAAAATATAATAGTATTTCCTAAATAATTAAACAAACAAATATTTTGGGAATAAAGTATGAAATAATAAACCAAACGTACCCATTGCTATTCTTTCGTTCTTAAAGGGTAATTTTGACTCTTTCTATCTATAAAAACCCTTCATTTTTTTCTCCAATTTCTTTATACTTCTTTTGATCTTTTCTCTTTCCATCTCATTTCTTCAACGTCTCTTCTCTCGCTTATCTTTCTTCTTCTTCTCTCCCTTCTCTTTCTTTCCTTTCTTCTCCCTCTTTTTCCTCCTCCTCCCCTTCTCTACACCATGTGACGACCATTTGGCGGCTAGATTTGTTTGGCATAAAAGGAATGACTATGGTGTAACATGGTGAATCAATAAAAGAGTTTATGGAGAAAGTTTTGTATGTATTGAATCAAATTAAATAAAATTAATAAAATAATTATTGTCAAATGTATCATGCAAGGGTATTCTTGGTATTTTATACTTATACAAAGTTAGAATAGTCTTAAAAAAAACAATACTAAAGGGATATAATTGTCATTTCCTAGCCTTGACACATTTTTTAACAGAAATGTCACACGGCTCGTAAAAAATAGGGGTTACCTTCCTATTTTTAAACTTGGCAAAATTTTGGGGGTTCCCTGAAATATCCCTTTCGATTTCTTGTCTTGAAAACCAAGAAGAAAATATTCTCTGCCTGACAAATTGCCTGTAAAGTTTCCATGGCCATGGGACAACTCTACTGATTTTAAATCATCATGTATTATTATTATTATTATTATTTTGTTTTTATCCAGGGTGTTCGAGCATGTCTACGCATATCTCAACTAGTCCTTCGAGATCCTGAAATTAACGGCAAATTAAACCTCAAGTGGTTACCCTTTATTAATATTTGTTGGGATTCAAACTCAAGATCTCTTGTGTAATATACTCAAGAATCTTAAACGAACCGTCAAATTATCTAAAGGTAATTAATCATGATGTATTTCAGAGATGAATAATCATTTATTATTTGCATATATGTAAAATATATACATTTCAATTAATAGTTGATTAAAATTTGTTGTTTTGGCCTTTGGGGGCCTAACATGTGTTGAGCATTTTGAGGAATTAAACTACCTTTGAGTGGTTGAGTGGTTCGATAAACACTCTTTGATGAAATTCAAAAGTTTTTGAGTTCGAGTTCCCATTGAATGCTAATAGGGGTAACCACTGAAACTCTTATCCAATCGATAATTTCAGGATCTCAAGAGATTAGTTGAAATATGCATCAATGGGCTTGGGCCTATACACCCCCATAAAAAAAAAAAATTGCTACTTTATAAATTTATTAATTTTACCGAATTAACTTGAGCAGTGGATACATGGTCAAAGATAATACAGTATATCAAACTAAGGGTTAGTGATAATAAAGACAGCATAATCCATTTTGTATTGGATTAATATTTCCTAAGTTTGCTTGATTGTGTGGTTAACAAATGAAACAAGATCCAAAGGAAAATTTGGAGATATAATTTTTAAAATAAATTTATATTATTTGTAAATGAATTCTGCAAGCTAAATTAATTAATCGAATATTGTCATGTGTTATCTATGCGAATTAATTTTAATTTTTGTTGATGCGTGATTTTGACACCAACTAAACGCACGTGTGAAATGCTGAGCTAGCCTAGAAGACACACGCGAATGGGAGTAGTGAAAATGAATAATAGGTGGAGAAACAAAGTTTTAAAGTGGTTCGGATGCTTAAGCAAGCGACTCCTACGTCCATTGATATTGTACTAATATGGAGGGTCAGGTCGCGTCCAGCAAGCTGACTTGCAAATGATTACAGAAGAGAGAATAAGCTATTACAGAGAGAATTTAGCTGTTACAGAGTGAAAATGAGTCAATCCCACAAACGGGAGATGAGCTCTCTATTTATAGTGGGATGAATTGGAGTAATGATTACATAATTCGTAAAAAAGGGGCAGATACCGTGCAAATCATTCTTTGCATCCCGTTACTCACCCACTCAAGTAGGGGTGGAAAAATCCGGTTAACCGGATTCTTGAACCGAACCGGTTTTCGGTTTACAAAATAAACTAAACCGAAACCGGTCCGGTTTCGGTTATTAACCGGTTATAAACCGAACCGAAAATCCGGTTCGGTTAACCGGTTTTTAAACCGGTTAATAAAATTAATTCAGTTCGGCCCATTTCACACACTCCACTTATGGCCCATAAGTTATGGGCTGCCTTTTTGGCCCAATTTAGCACACTCCACTTTGCACTTTTTTTCCAGGTTTCTAATTTTTTTTTAACACTTAAAGTTATAAACTTATATCTACTGTAAATTCAATTACATTAATAAACTTATATTTATTGTAATTGAATTTGAATTCATATAATTTGAATGTACATCAAAATCAAATATTAATAATTTTAAATTACAAATCAAAGATTACAAAAACAAAGATATGATACAAACTCAATTACAAACTAAAAAATATACAAACTATACAAACAAAAAAATAGTCCTCTGTTGCCAACTTAGTTTCCACAAAATCAAACATAATAAACACATTTCCACATCCTAAAATTACAAATCAAACACATGAAATGAATAAAATAAGAAACATATTTCAACAAAATCCAAATCAAACACATGATTAAAACTAGCAAACACATTTCCAAAAAACAAACATAATAAAATTAAAACTAGCAAACACATTTCCACAAAACAAACATAATAAACACATTTCCACAAAACAAAACGAATTAAGTTACTAACAAGCACATTTCCAAATCAAATAATGAAATGCAAACTGAGAAGATATACAAAGAAAGTTCACAAAGACAAATCTAAAATAAACAAACTCACAAAAATGATTTCAAAAGAGGCCTCCAAGCAGCATAACTGTCCAACTGCAAGCACATTCCAATCCATTGTCAAATGTAACTGTCAAAACAAAAAGTTCCACAACTTGTTAGATAGCTTCCATTTTAAATTTCTTTTTTTATAAGTTTGTCCAATCAATCTAGAATAGTAAATAAAAGAACAAATAAACTAATAAAATCATAGATATACCTCGTTATTGGAAATTTGGATTGCCCTTCAATCAATTAGTTGAGAACGAGTACTTTCTACTCTGAAGATGGAAATTACAAAAAGTGGATAAACACATAAATAAACAATACTTAGGCAGCAACCACAAACAATCAAACACCCAAAAGGCCTCTATTCTTTATACACAAAGACCAGAAATTAAAGAAGTTGGCACAGAGCCGTCCTGATACAAGCATGCCATCCTGAGTAATATGTTACTGTCTTCTAAAATCATAATTATTTTGATTACTGGTAATATTAAAAAAAAAACACATCAAAAGCTACCATACTAGCATACTGGAGCCCAAAGAAGCACTTTAACTTTAGAACTCATCAAAAGCTACTAAACTTATCCACAAATAAGCACTTCTCAAATATATATACTCTAAATGCATAAAAATAGAATCTGGAAACAGATGAATGGGATTTTCAATTTTTCTATTATGTCAAAGTATATACATTATCATTCCAACACTCATATAGACAGTAGACACAAAAGGATAGCTCCCAGCCTCCCATCATCAATCCTCACCGGCTTTCCCTTGTGCCCACTGAAGATTCTGACTCTTCATTGAAAATTCGTCATCATCATCATCAACAATCACACCACCTTCATTGTTCAAGCTCATGTTACTACTCACAGTAGTGGTACTCCCGCTCACACTCTCATTGTTTCTCTCTGAATCCATTTCTTTAACCCCTTTACACGATTTATTGCCACGATAAATTGATATAACTCTCTTGAAAACCTTCTTTAATCTTTGTTTCTTGGAATTTCCTTTAATACTATTTTGAGATAAGCCTTAAAATTGAGTTTTTTTCTTTTAAAAAAAATAAATTATCAGCCTGCCTCATCCCGTCAATGGTCACCGACTCACCAACAAATACAAAAAAAAAAAGCCAAAGAAGAATTGCTCACCCACCGGAGACAGACGATGACGTGGAGACTTGGTGAAGGAAGAAGAATGGTGCCGCGACTAGCGACAGATCTGAGAACTGAGAGTGAGAGACTCCGGCGTGACCGCGTGACCGCGTGACTCCGGCGTGAGAACTGACAACTGAGACAGAGACTCTGAGAGTGTGAGAGAGAGACTAACGGTTACTGGGGTCTGAGGTGACTGTCTGAGTACCGGCGCCGGCGCGAGTGCGTCTGAGATCTGAGTACTACCGTACTGGAGCAGTGGAGCTGCCGTCTGCCGAGCTGGAGAGTGGAGCTGCCGTCTGCCGAGCTGGAGAGTGGAGAGTGAAGATTGGAGTAGACTCGACGACTCGTACTGGAGTAGTGGAGCTGCCGTCTGCCGAGCTGGAGAGTGGAGAGTGAAGATTGGAGTAGACTCGTACTGGAGTAGTGGAGCTGCCGTCTGCCGAGCTGGAGAATGGAGACTGGAGTAGACTGAGTAGTGAAGACTGATGAAGACTGATGAAGACTGAAGGTAGTGAAGTGAGTGTCTGAGACAGTGAGACTGAGTGAGATCGTGAGAGTTGAGACTGTGAGTGTGAGAGACTGAGAGTGTAAAAGCGTGTTAGGGTTTGGAATTGCAAATGCAAAATAAAAATGTAAAAATAAAAATGCCATAATTTTTTAAACATTTCGGTTCATAAAACCGGTTCCGGGTAACCGATTTTCTTTTTTAAAAAAACCGAAACCGAACCGAATATCCGGTTTTTTTTAATATCCGAACCGAAACCGAACCGAAACCCAGAAAAAACTGAATTTTCGGTTCGGTTTCGGTCAGGTTTCTCGGTCCGGTTCGGTTTTCGGATTTTTTTTTTCCACCCCTACACTCAAGTGATTTCCTCGTTTAGTACAGGGGTTGGACACATGGACGGCCTCCAGCCTTTCGTCAGTCTGGTGCGCACCGACTACACTAGCAGGAGCATGCTGCTCACGCAAGCATGCGAGGTGGCAGCATCTGAACGGCTATAGGATCTACCTAGGCTCTGACTATTTACGTTGATCGGGCTCTGCATTAGCCCTACTTTTTCAGGCATAACAGAAGTCCCATAGTTTTTAAGGTTTAAGGATCGAACCTTGGAAACTACAAATTATGCCTTGATTTGATGCGTTTGAAGAGATAATGGTTGACTCGACCTGCTTGCAAAGAGGTCGAGAACATATTTCAATAGAGGCGACCTGAAACGATCTTCGCTTTAAAGTCAGCGACCTGACTTTAGATCGTATTCAGTGCCATAATGATGATGCCGACCTGGACTGAATTCCGCGACTTGATTACCCTTAGCAGGTTTTGTTAAGAACAAAGGATCACGTTGCTTCGCAACTGATGTCCGTTGAGGTCGAGGGGTCACATCGCTTCGCGACTGACGAGATGAGATTAAAGAGTTACGTCGCTTCGCAACTTACAAGATGAAGAGTGTTTTTCATAACAACCTCTTCAGATGTTTTTTTTCGTTGTGCTTTTGCTGCAGGTGCATTTAATGAAATGCCTTCTGTTCTGACAGACGTGCCTTATGCGCAATAAGTGACAGTCATGTGCATTAAATGCGAGCCATGCTGAAACGACATTCCCTATCAAAGCATTAAATGCGGACGAGGGCGCATTTAATGTGGAGGAGGGAGAACGTGCCGTCGCTTTAGTTTTTCAACGGAAAAGAACGACGATTTGGTTTCTTGAGGCGTGATGGTCACTCTTCTTTGCTGATTCGCGACACATGGTCGTGACCAACGATCATATGCGTCTTCCACCTAAACGTCGTTTGACTCTGGGAAACCAAAGCGCCTTTTCTCTCACTATAAAACCCAGGTTTACTTCAGGCAATGTCACAATATTCATCTTTTCAGAGAGAGCAAGAGATTTTCGTGAACTCTGATTCTTTGCCTTTCAAACCGATGCGCACTTGATATTTGAAGCAAAAGGATTAATCTTTTCATTTCAGGAGGTAAGGATTGTCCCTTTACTAATTTTATTATTATTTTCGGTAGTCGTCATGCAATGATAGTCCGTCGATAGTTGACCGAAGATGAAATATTCTCTTTGGGATTGAGCCATTAATGGTGGCTCTAAAAATATTATGTTAGGGTTTTTCTAGGGTTTAAGGGAGGAAATATTTATTGTTTCCTTCCACGTCATCGTACGGAATAGTGTACGAGGAATGAACGATTCCTTACTTGTCGCTTTTGCAGACCGCAGTAGAATGGACCCCCCAACGACCAGAGCCGAGGAAGGGACTAGTTCGGATGCGCAGGATGCTCCTGCGGGTCCCCCTCAAGAGATCATGTCGGTGCTTACTGACGAAGAGCTCCAAAGGGTAATAAACCAATACGCTATTAGCGTAAAGGTCTTTCGAGACAGGACATGCAACTCGAAATCCGCCACGAGGGCTGGCTGCGATCTCCGAGGACATTTTCAAAGGTAGGGGGTTGATCCATTTCCACCCCTTTGTCAGGTTGGTCCTCGACTATTTCAGGATCGCACCCTTGCAGCTCACACCGAATGCATACATGATAGTCGTGGCCATGTACATCGCGTGCCGTGAAAATGGGCTAGGCGAGCTAACCGCGCTAGAGCTCGGTTGTTCGTATATCCTGAAAAAGAGTAAGGACAAAGATTCCTACTACCTTTCCAGGTGAACCACCATTTGAGGGGGAATACATAGTTACTCGAGCAATACGGGGGCGTATGAGACGAAGTTCTTTTTCTTTCGTTATGACGGCCTTTGTTATTTCCAGGATCCGAGTAGGTTTTCCTTTTTTTATCGCTTTGCGAACTCTTTTGGTCTTCGCTAACAAGCTCTAATTTTCTTTGCAGTTAACAAAACGACCAGTTTAGAGCTCCTCGCGAATCCGAAAAGGATTATTGCTTTCGGCTTTTTGCTCGAAGAAAGTCATGACGCTAGGTTGCTTGTGACAACTGCAAACTTGCAGAAATACAGCTTCTTCAACTTGGAAGCGACCCTAGAGTCCCCATCGAGTAAGCTTCGCAACCTTGGTTTATTTTTTGATTATGTGTACAGCGAACTATTTTGCTAACGACATTCACATGCAGCAACCATGCCTCCAAAGATGTCCAAATCGCCACAAGCGAGACAGTTCACCTTCCCTAGAGTGGGGGCCACCAGACCGACTAGGGGTGTTCCCACTGGTCCCCCCATCAGAAGGGCACCGGTTGGTGCTCCGGTCTGACCTGTGGGCACTCCCTAGCCCCCAGATGTTTGTCCGAGGCAGAAGATAACGGCCCAACAGCCCAAGAAGAGGCGACAAATTCAGACCAAAGAATTAGAGTCCGAACCGGAGGACCTAAGCGTTCAGCCCGAGAGGTTGCAAGCCTACCAAGCACTCCGCTCGAGAGGGCCTACCAGGGGTGTGACCGGCGTCTCTATTGCCTCAAGGGTACCGTGAACAAGGCAAAGCGAGGTCGCGAACCCTGGGAGGAGACCGGGCAAGGAACCAATGGGTAGCACGACTCTTACCAGAGCCGCAGGCACGGACACTCTTGTGCTTGACTTAATGGGGTAACTTCCGGACCATTTGTAGTTGGTGGTTTTTACCCTGCTGGAGTGCGGGCTCACGGAGGCTTTTAAGGAGTTCATGGCTTCCGGTTATGTGGACCTGATGTCCATATCCATTCAGTACTTGAGCAAGGTAGGACAAGCTGCCCTCGGCGAGGACTTTGCTTCTTTTCGGTAGCAAAGAAACTAACTTGTTATTTCTTTTGTTCGCAGGCCTTGCTCTCAATGCAACTGTCCTTACAAAAGGTCCAATTAGGGGCCGTCGAGGGGATGGTCGCGTTGAGAGAAGAGAACACTCGGCTCAAACGGGACTTGGAAGTCACTGAAGCAGAGAAAAACTTATCCACCGCTTTGACGAACCAGTACCTGAATGAGAGGAATGCTGCTCTTCGCACGGTAGACTTCCAGAAAGCTAAGCTAGAGAAGCATGGGGAGAAGATGAAAGAGCTTTAGAGGATAGTGGCCAGACTCACCAGGGAGGTTGGCGAGAAAGACTAAGAGCTGAAAACGACCTCTGAACGAGCCATGCAAGCAGAGCGGGATAAGGGCAAGCTGTGGGAGGCCACCGAAAAGCAAAGGCAAGCGATTGAGGCCGAGCTGCAAGCTAGTCGGGGAAGAGTCACTTCGCTAACTGAAGAGATGCAGCGTCAAGGGGAGGAGATCGAGTCGAAGGCCGCTGAATGGGCAATTCAGTCTATCTATGCCCTACGGCTGAGAAATCCTGGATTGGATATGTCCGACCTCCCGGAGGAGTACCAGGAAATCCTTATATCTATGATGCGACTCAACGATGAGGAGGCAGCGAAGGCCGCCCGAGGACCTGACCAGGGGGAGCATTCGGGGTATGTCCCCAAGGAGCTCGCAGCTGGCCAGGTGATGGGCGATCAGCTTGGGGATGACGAGGTCGCGCCTCCGAGAATTGGGGATGAAGGCCACTGATTTCCTTTACTTTTGTATTGCCTTTCCCATGCTTGCTTTTTGTATTCCTTTTATGAATAAAGACAAGGCTTTCTTAATCTGTTATGAATATTTACAATTTTCGTACTGCTACAAATGAGGTTGCATTCCAACTGTTTTACTATAACAATAGAACAAGTTTGTGCAAACAAAATCATACACATGGGAAGATAATAATTACGAACGAACAAAATTACAAAATTGTACACTTGCTATTTACAAAGACTTAAGAAAGGTAAAATCTTCACAAGGAAAAATTGAGTTT